AAAAAAATAAAAAAATATTTTTTTCCTTAGCTGGAATGGAACACTCTGAAAAAACTGAATTTCAAACATTTGTTTTCTCACAAAATCTGAAGGAAAATAACAGGAAGGTGCCCCTGATTGATGAGAAAAGGCTCTTGGCTCTTCTCGGCATCTTTGTTTGTCTCTTCACTCAGGTGTTCAGTTATAAACAGAGAAAACAATTAATGTTACACTGAAAAAGAAAGAAAATGCATTCAGAATAATGTTGCTGTTAATTTATTTTTTTCTTAGCCTTTTCCCCTGGCATCTCCGTGTGTAGGGCCCCACTTCCTGGGGTCTTCAACTCTATTCATTGACTTGATTGACTGAACATTGTCTCCTTATGGTGGAACTTTCAAAAAGAAAAGGAAAAAACACTGTGAATGAATCAACTGGAGTCCTATGAAAAAATTTTAACTGTAACTGAAGATCTATACTGTGGTAGTACATTTTCATGAGTGTCCTGAGTCGATTTCACTTGAGTGTTGAAACTGATTTGAGTGGTGCAAAATCTCTGGTGCATTCAGCACACTCTGCCTCTGATTTCATCTCAGGTGCTATCCTGATAAATTTCAGTAGAGCTTTTGCCTGACCTGCTTTGTAGCCAGAAGCCCCAAATTTTTCAGGCAGATACAGAACTACAAAGTAGAGCTAGATAGAAATCCTTTTTCTTTAGGGGCAATTGCTTATTTGACCCCGTTTTGAACTCTAACTACCAATTTGACCCTACTTTTTGAAGTTTACTTATTTGACCCTCCTTTTTAAAAATGAAGCTACGGTATAACCCTATTCTGTTAAGGGCATCTAACGGTGTTAACTGAAGCACAAAATATCTCTTCTGCCCTTACTCATTTGACCCTATTACATGTGGGACCCACCCGTCAGTTCTCTTCTCCTCTCCTCTCTTCTCTCCTCTCTACGGATTGACCGCAGGGAGAGGTGGCCAAAGGCGAGACGGCGAGCCGACGCCGGCCTTGGTGATGACGACGACGACGACGAGTGGTGGCGGCGCGTTCTTGTCCTCTCCTCCACGTATCCACCACAGGGAGAGGCGACGAAAGGTGAGACGGCGCCGGCCTTGGTGACGACGACGACGAGGAGTGGCGGTGGTGAGTCCGGGCGGTGGAGCTTGAGCTGCAGTCAGCGGATCCGGCGCCGCCACCGCCGCCTCCTCCCTCCTTCCGCGCGCCTGCGCCGGAGGTGCCACCGCCACCTCCCTCATCCCGCGCCGGCGCCGCCTTAGCCGCCGCCGCCCCTCAGCCGGCGTGGATCTTCTCCCTCCACGCCCCTCAGCCGCCGCCGCCGCCGCTCCCTCCCTCTGCCCCCTCAGCGCCTCAGCCGCCGCCTCCCTCATCCCGTGCCGGTGCCACCTCAGCCGCCGCCGCTCCCTCCCTCCCTCCCTCCGCGCCCCTCAGCTGCCGCGCCGGCGCCACCTCAACCGCCACCGCTCCCTCCCTCCGCGCCCCTCAGTCGTCGCCGCCGCCGCCGCTCCCTCCCTCCGCCCCCTTAGTCACCGCCGCCGCCCCCTAGCACCGCCGCCACAAGTCGAGCGAGCAGGAAGGAGGAAAGAGAAAGAGAGAGAAATGTGGATAAGGTTGGGTGGATGGATAGGGTTTCCTAAAGGTATTCTGGGTATTATGAATATTAGTTGCATTTCTTTTTTTATTTTAAATCAAAACTTAACGGACTAGTGGAAACAGGGTCAGACGGGAGCTTCGTTTTTGAAAAGGAGGGTCAAACAAGCAAACTTCGAAAAGTAGGGTCAAATTGGTAGTAAGCAATTGCCCCTTTTCTTTATGTCATATCACTAAAAAGTGACAAGGTAAATCCAGTAAATGGGTACTTGAGATGTGGCTTGTTCATCGGATTGAATTCTAGTTTGCCTTTCTAAAACTTTGCTCCAAACAAAATTCAGAAGATTTTTTCTTATTTCTCCAATATTATCTGCTAATTACATGTGTACACGTGGAGCTTGACTTATATTTATCCAAAACGACACATATATTTTCTTTATTTGTGATTACACGAAAGATGTGCACGCATACACATCACCACACATGCACACCACGCACCCACCCACGAATGCTATATGCAAATTTGAGCTGTACCAAAATGAATGATGATAGTAATTGTGGAGGGGAATATTCTCAAGCTGGTGGACTACAGGATGTAAGTAGGAGAAATATAATGAGAAGGTTGAATTGCATTGCATATATTGGAACTGAACACAGCACATTGACATGTACAGTACTTCACCTGATTCTTGTCGCTTTTTTTAAAAAGAAAAACATTTATTCTTGTCATTGGTAGGGTACAAAGTATGGTACCTGTACGTACCATGGATGATGGGAACGAGCGAGCGAGAAAAGAGAAGTTCATGTAGTAATAGTAATCAAGGTATGTACCCATAGTCCTTCACATCTCCCAATCATCGGTACCAAAATTTCCTTTTAAACAAGGGGTGGAACTTGAAAAAATGTAATCAGTTTCTAACCAAATATTTGAACACCAAATACAAAACAAAAGCTTTGGCTTATAAAGTGGAAATAATATGACTGATTTTGTTGTGAAATAATTAATATTGTTATATTTTCAACCGATTGATACGAAATTGTTACTGTAAAATTCATGTGTTCCAAGCGCATTTTGAGCTTAGGCATACAAACAATTCATGACAATTTGTGAACCTCTTAATACAGTACTCGCATCCTGTAGCTAGGAAGATTGGTATACAGCTAACTAATTCCTAAAACTGGGATAGATGTTCATATTACACATATTTGGCCACAATCCAAGTTCCTTGCTTCATTTGTCAATTGTCATGTCATGGAATAGCCACCATTAACACTGCCCTATTAGTCGCCCAAAATGGGCAATCTCAAAAGCAATGTGCAAATTATTGTTGGATGCTTGGTCAGTTCTAGGTCATGCATGTGAGGATGCAATAACTATTCCAGATGGGCCATATGGAATTTATTTCAGTCATTTAATGGTTTTGGCACCACAAAGTTTTGCAATGTACTTCCATACATATGTTTTTTTTTTAATCTGATGGGCACCATATATTTGGGCACATGATAAAAACTGTCCTCACATTTTTAAAGATTTGAGTGGCTCTCTTGTGCAAGTACTATTTGGATCAGCTGGATGGAAATCTTGTCTATCCATTTGCAATGTCCTTGTAGCAAAGTGGACTAGCTTAGATGTCCCGTGTTTTACTTCAAGCTAAATTCTTCTCCTTTTTAGTTTTTACAATGGTAACTTGAACAGTTAGGCATATGTTAATCTGATTGACTGAGTATTTATGTGGGGTGGGCGTGGGTTGTTCTTATCAAACTTTTCGCCTATCAAGATGATAACAGTGAAATAAAATTTTCAAGAAATGAGGGAAAAAACTTTAGCTAGGCGCAAAATCCATTAGGCATAACTTGGATTGCGGGAAATTTTCTTGAATTAAATGTTGGAGACATAAGTATGCATTTGGTTGAAGGGTTGGGATTGCCGGATGGGTTAGGTTGGGTTGAATCTATTTTCCAATGTGTTTGGTTTGGGGACAAATGAGATGAGATAGTCACTGACAGAAAATATCCCCTTAAGATCCGGGTTGACTTGGTCCCTTAAAAACTGACGAACCAATCTAACTCACTTTTTTTTGTCTCGCTAGCATATGTAGGATCATCCCACCCTTTATGCGAAATAGATAGATGGGATCATCCCCATCCTAAAAACATGAACGAGTCCAACCCATCTCACCTCGTCCCCAATCCAAACACGTGCTAAGTAAATAGGTATCATTCAACCTTTTTGTCATAAAATTTTTAAATTTTTAATATTCTGTTGAGTTTCCTCTAGAGAGCGGGAGTTCCTCTAAATTAAATATCAAACATGTTATCACTCATGCCCCTTTGAAATGAAGAATTTTTTTAGGATTTGAATCACGTAGGATTTCCCCCCCTAAATGTCTCTGGAACAAAGAATATTGAATTCTATGAAATTGTTCAATCATTGGTACTCTTAATGGAAATTTAACACAAGCTCTATCCTTACAGAAAATTTCTTGATGTAGTTTTTATCTCTCCACTACGGTCAATCCAAAGATTATTCACGTATGTTTCTTATGTTTTGCGATGCTCTGTTTTATGCTTTTATTCATATTAAAATTCTGTGTTTTCAATCCTTTATTTTTTTTCAACCCTATAATGAACTCCCCTCAACTTTCACGTTAGAAAAATTCAAGTAAACTTCCATACAAAAATACTACTACTCCTACTCCACTGCATTAACATGCATACTCATTTGTCTCTAGCTAAAGCTGTTTGGTAGTAGCACTAAGAGTACATAATAAATAAATAAATAATTGTAGTATTAGCAAGTTGTAGTAGACGCAGAGTTCACTGGATTTCGAAAGAGCTTTGAGATAAACAAAGGGTCAAGTGCCGCGTGAGGTGGCGTTCATCAAGCACAGTTGGTAGTGGGAGGGGAGACAAAATTTAAGTTTGGTTTTGGCGTCTTATGTGTAATGTAATCAAGGTGCCATCTTTGTTTTTTTCCCCCTTCCCCTTAATCAATGTGGGTCCCACTGTAAGAGAGCATAGTCCTTCCTCCAAGACTCCAAATGATCCCTCTCAAAGACCAAACCTTTTTTCCTTCTTCTCTCTCTTATCATCATCATCATCATCTCTTCTCCTCTCTCTCTCTCTTTCCTTTTCTTTGACCATCTCTTCTCTCTCTCTCTTATAAGAAGATTCCCTTTCAGGGCTCTAAGTAAGACTCCATTGTGTGCACACACGCACACATCTCTCTCGCTCTACAACTCACCACCAAAGAGGAAGAAAGGAGGAGGAAAAAAGGGGGGCGAAAAGAACAAATCTTTCGATCGCTTTCGACGGCCTGGATCTCCTCCCACGCGGGATCGTACGGGGCGCACGGCGTTGTCGCTTTCCTCCACGTATGGTGTTTTTTCTCCTCCTCCTCTTCTTCTTCTTCCCCCCATCTCTTCCCATGGTGTCATTCTGCTAAAAATTTCATCTTGGGGGGTATATTTCTCATATTTTAGTTCATGCCGCCGCCACTATGTACTAATCCCACCATAGCAGCTCATAGTATTCTCCATTGCAATCCTGTCGTCTATTTGTATTTGTTTTTTGTTTGTTAGTATTAGGGTGCTTTTGGGTTTGGGGTTTCTGCCATTGACGGTTACCTGAAGAGCTCTCGATGAAGCGGTTCTTTTTTATTTTATTTTATTTTCGGTGCCTAGTGAAATACAGTGGTGGTTTTGAATCATTCCTGGGAGTTCCCTGGTGGTTTTGACTGATCAAAACGCTACATTTTTTTTATGTTTATGTTCCCTGTTGTTGTTTCTTGCCCAAATGCAGATTCACTCTTGCATTTGTTTCTCTTGATTTCCTCTGCTGTTTTGCTCTACAAGGACAGAGGACTTAGTCTGCTTGTTCGTCAGCCTTGCAGGAAAAAAAATGCAGTAAAAAACCTGTCTATTGCGATTACTTTGTGTTCATCTTGGGGCGCTCTTATTATGCGTGGGAATCACCAGCAGAGTTCATCCGATTTGATGCGCGCATCTCTAATTCCCATCTTTTGCAGCATTGCAAAAGCTGCTGCCTTTTAGCTTTTGCGCTTTCTTAATTAGGAGGGGTTGTACGGCGCCCCTGTTGGACCTGATTACTTCCACAGTAATTGCATCATGACATTTTATTCCTTTTTAATCGTTTCCTTTTGCTAATCTTTTTAAGTACAAATGGAGTTTCCCCCCAAAAAAATATTGCAAATGGAGTTTTTTTTTCCCCTTCTCCTCTCGCCTTTTGCTGTTTCAGGTTTCGTATGTTATCTTCACATCAATGCAGCCTTTAATTGCAGCAGACCACCCTTCTTTGCTACTAGTATGGGAAAAAAAAATCAGAGCCACACGAACTGTGGGTATTTGCTATGGGAACTTCACAAGTTCGCCAGCAATACAACTTGAATGCGTCCTGAAGATCTAGATTCCGCAGGTCAAATCGTCGAATTTCAGAGCTAGTAGTACTGTAGGCTTGCCTGGTGCAACTGTGGGTTATGCTTCAATAGCCTTTAACTGTGGGTTAATGTGTAGAGTATATGTCAAATACAGAATTTTTACTTGAAGAAGATGTGTTTATTTTCAGATGTGTTGGACCATTTCATGTTGTCCACTTGTAGGTACTTTCGTGGCCTAAGTAGTACATTATTCAGTTGTTAGTTATTTGTCTCACTGAATGCAAGTGTATCTTTAGTAAGAGTTGGACTGCATTGTACTTGTTTTAATCTTCTTGAAGGCCAGTAAGAATTTGTACTCTAATACAAAATTGTGGAAATTTTACAGATAATAAGCTGCTAAGAATTATCACCATGGAGGTCAATGGTCATCACAAACCAAGAAGAGAATATAATGGCCGAGAGTGCAATGGTGTACAATCAGTAAACAATTTTGGCGATATCGATCCATGGACAGCATGGGCATACAAACCGCGCACAGTTTCATTGCTACTGATGGGAACATGCTTTTTAATGTGAGATCAGAATCTTTATCTGTGGATTTTTTTTAAAGATTTTAAAGAGCATTTTAATAATCAAGGTGTTTTATGCATTTGTTAGTGTTGGCCTACGGCACCTTTTTGAAATATGTTTTATTTTCTTCAGTTTCGACCATTGTTAGGACTATCAACAAGATATTTAGGACTTGCAAAGGTGCTCTATGTTTAACAGAAATTTAATTTACATTCTTTATCAGTTGGGCAAGTGGTGCTCTTGATCCAGAAAGAAGCTTCTCTGTTGACCGCGTTTCATCTGTTAAAAGGTATTCTACTCATCCAGGTTAGACGGTAGTTGTTTTTACCATTCACTCACTAATTGGACATCTTTAAAACTAGTGTTACCTGGTCATCTGTGTTCAAAATATTTTTTATTGAAATCACACGAGTCAGATCCATAGCAGATTTCATGTGTTGATGTTTTTTTTGCTGCACTAGACACGCAAATTCTAGTCGGTTTCCAACCACATGAGTGTTCATTTTATTTTTACCATCATTTTTCTCAACAATTTATCTGTTGATTATCATTTAAGGATTCCTTTTTGTTGATATGTCATATGTTTCTCTTTTATTGACAGGGGTGTCTTTGCAATGATTGCTGTTTTTTTGGCTTATTCATTTCTTCAGGCACCTTCTACGTGAGTCACATAAACCCCTTATCCGAACTCTGATTATCGAACTCTGTTTATGGTAGGGATGGCCGTGCAGATATAAATAATGCTATTGCACATTGATATGGAACAGAAGGGGGTACGCGTTCCTGCGTACTCCATTTCTGAAAATAACTTTTCAATATCACTGAGGAATTGTATCATTTTCCTAGATGTGTTACTTTTATCATGAAACTGAAATAACTTCATAAATTCTCCTAAATAACAGTTTTAATTTAAAAATCCCTTGAAAGTGAGGCACTGTTCCATTTCCTAAAAATATAACCTCATTGGGGGCTTCTCTGTAATTTTGTTTAACATTTACTTATATTTATTTATACTATGATTCAGTGTACTTATTAGACCACATCCTGCCATTTGGCGGCTGGTCCACGGGATGGCAGTTGTTTACCTTGTTGCTCTAACTTTTTTGCTTTTCCAGGTAAGTACAGCTTTTTCTTATTACTCTTGCTCAACACATTTTTATTGGATCATTGATATTCATGGATTATTAAGGCATTGCATTCTTTTACTTTTTTTATCTCTTCCACATAACCTTATAATATCAACTTCTTTTCTAATGAACGGCATAGAAGTCCCTGTCTCAGTTTCTCGTTTAATTGATTAGCATAAGGAATTGCACTGTGCACTAATACCTCACTTCCCTCTTGATTCCAACCAAAAATAGGTTATTTTTATTAAAGGAAAAAAGAGTCGTCATTGGCATTACACATCAGCAGCAGAAGATGAGGTTACCAATGTCAAAAGTTTAACAGTATAACTATAGGTGAACATAGATCAGTTTGGAACTAGGATGACTCAAGAGATTAACACACATTGGAAAGAAAAGCCTGGTATCCCATTTTTATGTTACCCTGGGAACTTTTTTAGTCAATAGGAAGCTTCCCAGAAATGTTTTCAAGTCATCCAACTAATTGCGATTAGTCATCCTAGTCGGTACTAAGGCAACTTGATTCTAACCACGATTGATCGGAAAGTCTCCTAATTAGTCGCGATTAGTTATGATTAATCATCCTAGTCGGTACTGAGGTGATTTTCCTCGAGTTTCCGATTTGAAAACATGCTGCCTTGTTGTGGTTTACTCCTAGAGGTAGCTAGTCAAAGTGCCAAGAGACTATTCTCCCGTATCTTTACTATTGTGCTATACTGGTCCATGTTGCATGCACCAGATGAGACAATGTCTCAAAAAGTGAGGGTCTTGTTATAAATATTTTTTTTCTTCTCAAATACGCAAGAGAATTGTGCATCATTGGTCTTGTTATAAATATCATAAAAGAGAGAACAAAACCTGTAGTTTGCATGGGATTCATACTCTGTTCCACTTAATCTTGCAGACCCGTGATGATGCTAGGCAATTTATGAAGTATCTTCACCCTGATCTTGGTGTTGGTAATGAATTTAATTTCCATATATGATCTAGCAGTGCAGAGTTATGTGATTGGAAAAATAAAAACCTGATTTTTACCCACCTTTGAGCAGAATTACCTGAAAGATCTTATGGAACCGACTGCCGCATATATGTACCTGATCATCCGAAAAGCAGGTTTAACAATGTTTATGTATGACTCCATTCACCAACTTGCTTCTCCTTTTTGTTCTATTTGATTTACCTTAAAACTCCAGTTCTGCAAAGTCTTGGAGATGCTTCAAGTTACTGATTTGAATATAGGTTTCTCTAGGAGATCCTTTTTGATGAGTTTGTTATTGCCCATATCCTTGGATGGTGGGGGAAGGCTATAATGATAAGAAACCAACCACTTTTATGGGTATTATCAATTGGCTTTGAGCTAATGGAGGTATGCATTTAATCTTACACGATCAATTTATTTTTGGCTTCTGTCTTCTGAATCTAGATTCCTTACATAGTTTCACATGTCCTGCAGCTCACCTTTCGCCATATGCTGCCAAACTTTAATGAGTGTTGGTGGGATAGCATCGTACTAGACATATTAATCTGCAATTGGTTTGGTGAGATTTTTTATATTTTATCAGTATTTTTAATATACAATTCTCATTTCCTTTAAATGTAGATTAGACACCCTCATTCAGTTTATTCAGAAATCATTTTTTTGTTTATTGGCTTCTTTCTTTATTGTGGTTGTATAAGCTGCTGGAGTAGTATCTTCTGATTTACTGAAACCTCATTCAGAATTTTGTACCTTAGCATATTAAAGTTAATCATGGCAAACCTATGTTTCACATTGTTTTGCTTATCTCTTTCTGCAAATCGCTAAGACAGAATATTAGTGTTTTAATAGTTTTGTGATGTATTAGACATCTTTTAAATGCTAAGTGTACCTATGGTATTTCACTAGCTATTTCGTATGAAGTTGTGCGCTATAATTGTTACTTTAAATGCTAAGATATTTCATGTGATTAAAATTTCGGGACAGTTTTCATGCGAATGTCTGTCTTTACCTCTATTCGTTAGCCTCCCATAAGTTTGATTCTTCTCTGCTGCAACATCGTGTTATGTATCTTTTGCTTGAGTAATAGAGTGACAGTTGCTTTCAACTCTTCCTGACTGGGACCCTTATTTGGTTTAGGTATTTGGGCTGGAATGAAGACTGTGAGATACTTTGATGGGAGGACATATGAATGGGTTGGTTTGAGTCGTCAACCCAATATTATCAGTAAGGTATGCTCATTAGATGTCAAGGGGAATGAAGTTGCCCAGCAAAGCATATGGTGGCATTATACTTTTCTTTTTTTTGGCATCTGTCCCATTTTTATGCAGTGCATTGTGTTGTATATCTTGCCTTAGTATCATATTAAGGTGATTAACTCTAATACAGGTAGGATTTACTGAGAAACCAACACAATTTGTCATTAGTTGTCTAATTAGCCCAATATGCACCATACTGTTAGGTACCTGTAAATACATGTATAAAATGAAAATATTATGTGTGTGACGTTTATATCTTGACTTTCAAATCCGGTTTTTTCTATGCATAGGTTAATACCGTACTACGGTATAGTATTAAACTCAACCATTAATTTTTCCCTTGAATGTTATATGCTATGTTCTGTATTTCTAGTGCTTCGAATTATTTGTTCTTGATCTTTATATTGTTAGCCTTTCCCGTGAGTGCATATTTCACCTTTTGCTTCTCCATAGGTAAAAAGGACGCTAGGCCAGTTCACACCAGCACAGTGGGACAAAGATGAGTGGTACCCTCTGCTTGGCCCTTGGAGATTCATCCAGGTGCTGAGCCTATGTATTGTTTTCATGATTGTTGAACTTAACACATTCTTTCTCAAGTTCTGCCTTTGGATTCCTCCCCGAAACCCCTTGATTGTTTACCGACTTGTCCTTTGGTGGTTAATTGCGATACCAACCATTCGCGAGTACAATACATACTTACAAGACAGGTGAATATTGAACTCCCTAAGCTTCTTTTTTTGAATGTATGAACTTAATTAGCTTCAAACTGTAAAAAAAAATAAATCTCTAAGTATGTTTTGATGAGTTGCTCTGTACTCATCCAGCATTATCGACTGTTCAAGAACAGAAACTCTGGATTTTCTTGGATGCACTGTGCCTGCTATTAACTATTACTGCTTGACATGCTACATGGCAGTGCAGATGTGCCACTATTTGTTGACCATAAATATGTACCGTCTGCTAGACATTGGTTGCATGTGAACTGTGTGTAGTATAGACAGCATTCTAACTGCATGCTTACAATAGGATCAAACAGCTTGGCTATAAGTTCACAGAATTCATACCCATTAATAATATAACTTGTCTGAATGATTGCAGGAAACCTGTTAAAAAGGTGGGGTCTTTCTGTTGGCTTTCCCTAGCTATTTGCATTTTGGAGCTTCTACTATGCATCAAGTTTGGACATGGTGAGTTTGATGTAAATTTCTTGATGCTTGCAAGCAACATTTGCATCCTTAAAATTAACCGTTCTGAACACGTTGGCTTGTGAACAGGTCTCTTTCCGAAGTCGATGCCGTCATGGTTGTTCATAGCCTGGACGACCGTGGCGTCGCTTCTGATGATGTTCCTTCTTGTGTGGACTTGGAAAATTTACCGAACAATGATAAGGAAAAGGCTATGATTCTTCTGTTGCTTTGCTCTCAATTCTTTCCTCCTCCATTCAATATTGTCGTGTAAATATTCATTCAAAAAAATCTGTACATGTGGTAGTAGCCATTAATTTGGTGGTCTCGAGAAGGATCATCATAAGGAATTTTATGTCTTTGCCTTTGTATTCCATGAGCCAAAATGGCATTCCCTTTTCCTTCCTGTGATGTAACTCTGACAGCCAAACTTTAGTGTTCCTTTGGTCCAATCTAATTCCTGGGAAATAATGAACCAAGATTTATTCTGTTTCTTGAGTTTTCATCACAGGTTGCTTTGCTGTTTCTCCTTATGCAGATCTTTCTTGAAAAAAAATTAAATACACCAGCAAAGTTATGAACTCACATTGCAAACTGCTGTCAAAAGCTTCTGCATCCATCAGTCTAGTCTGTTGCCATGATTTCTTGTTATCCCTACGGTACCTGGTGTGTGAGGTAGTGGTTGTTTCAGGAATTCAGGCTCCAGGGTTTCTTTACAGATGCAGGCTCGGTTGCTGCTGCTGTTGCTGAGCTGCTGGCATGTGAGGTTGTATTATTTGGTTTCAGTGTAGCAGCAGCAGGATGCCTCTGCAGTGTAGTGTAGTGTAGTGTGAGCCCATCGCCTCTGCTGATTGCTGAAGCTAGCTGAGCCTGTGGTTGGCTGATTGATGATAGGTAAGGAGATGGCAACTACTCCTGGAGGAGTATGGATGAATCGCCTGCATTCTGATGAATGGAGGGGGTTCATGTTCAGCACAGATCCACAGGTCTCTCGGCCCCTCCATGCAGATGCACCCTGCAGGCTTATCCTATGCATAGCTGCACTGTGAATTTCATTTCTCGTTCTGCTTTCCGAACTTTTAAATGGTATGATTCTTTTAAAAATAATTTATTTTATATTAATTTCTTAAAAATATTTGTTGCGGATCTATTATTTAATTTTATAGTAGTTAATTAATTCGTTTGTACACTCGAATAATAATCACAAATTATTCATCTACTATCCATTCAGCGGAAAAGAATAAGATGCAAAACATAGTTTTATTTAGAAAAGGTTCATTTTACTCCCTCAAACTCAAACTGCTATACTAAATCTCTTAACACCCTAAACTATTTTTTACTCATTTTTCTTCCTAAGCTATTGAAAATGGTTCACCCTACTCCCTAATAGCATTTGTCCTTTTAGTTTCTCTTTGTATAAGCTATAATTTTGTAGAGCCATAGATGGACCATTATCAAAGTTCAAAAATATTTCAATTCTTTTGCATGACTGTTTCTTGAACATTGATGCCTCGATGTTTAAATCAGTCTTAGGTGCTTCTAATGTAGAAAACAATGATAAAACAATCTAAAAAAAATGTTGAGATGTAAGTTACGGCACATCTATCGTTACCCTACCAAATCTCCGTGCACAAAAAGAAGAAAGTAAAGAAATGGGCCTAAGAAAGCCCACAAAGAGCCCATTTTAGGCCCAGTAAGAAAATGGGTGAGGTTCAGGCCCACCAAGATTTCTGCTCGATGCGCAAGCTTCAGGTGAAGGGCTGTCTCCTCCTAGGCCCAAGAAAACCTACCAAGAGCCAATTGAGGCCCATTAGTAAATGTGGCGGAGAAAGGGCTTACGTACCTATTTGGCCCAGTTTATCAATACTGTATCTCCAACGGCCCAATCGACATGACAGAGCAAAAGGCCACGACGGCCGGCCGGCGACAAACCACGGCGATGGCCGGCCGGCGACAAACCAAAACAAATAATCCAGAATTTTTGCCTCATTGATCCTATTTAATTTTATTTTCAACTGAAACAAATCAACATGTTTGCTGGGAGTGTGTCACCCTGTCGTCTGTCAACGTCAGCTCAACCGGATTGTGTCGGTAGTGCCGTGTGCTCTCCATTGCTAGCTAGCTACCTCATCGAAAGCAAGATCACATATCAATCTCTTTGTTTCAATCTCTTTTTTCCTCTCACTTTGATCTTGATTCTTGCGTGTTCATCTTATCATGGTAATTATAAGTTGATAGTACATGATCAGTTGCTAATTAACAATGGTCAACTACGTACTCAATTGCAAATCTGCAATGGCATCTTCGACGAACAGCAAGTTCCAATGCATCCTCTTCCTTTTTCTTTTTTTGTATGTCGTCTGTGTGGCCCGTTTCGTTATCAAACTGTTCATCTGGACCATGCCAATGAGGCTTCTGTCACCTTTGTGAAAGTCTGAAAGAAACGAATAAAAGCGAAGCCTGCAATGTGATGCCGATCGCCAACCTAATTATCCGGGACAACGCTGGCAATGGCTGCCTATCTTACACGACTTGTCTTCCTCCTCTTGCTAATACAACTCCATGATTGATTGATTGGCCTCTAGTTGCAATTGCAAAGCTTGTGCCACAATCATCAGCAGCTAGTCATGCAGTGATCCGTTAGCATCTTTGCTTCTGTTCGTTTAATTTTTTTTCTTCAGATGCATTCAGACATCAGGATCAGATGACATTAGCTTCTGCTTCTGTTATTGTCTGATTAATCACACTCACTGAAGCTTGTGCATCACCATGCCTGAACTGAAGCTATTAAGTAAATAAATTATATAGTAAATTTAATAAAACTACAGATACTTTGGTCAAATTATCACAAAACTACAGATTTAACACTAAATTTTTCAGAGAACTACAGACATAAAGTGGATTATCGCAAAACTACAAATTTAGTAAAAAAAATTATCACAAAACTATAGGTTTAGTGTCAATTCAATCACAAAACTTAGACGTTTATAACTCAAATATAACACTAATGCTAAAGATTTAAACTCCAAAATCTGTAGTTTTGTGATAACTTTGTTACTAAATCTATAGTTTTGTGATACTCCACCTTAAAATTGTAATTTTGTGATAAATTTATTGTTAAATCTGTAATTTTATGATACATCATTTTAAATCTGTAGTTTGTGATAATTTGGCTAGAGTATATGTAGTTTTGTGAAATTTACTCTAAATTATAACTGCAATTAAGTCGATCTCAACGGTGTTTGTGGGACATTGCCGTGCTAACCACCGCTTCGACCGTTCCTTGCTGCTGTTGCATTGTCATTTTCGTCGTTGCCCTGCTTGCTGGTTTGTGAGGAGAATCCGGCAAAGAGATTCCCATTTGCCGCGGTATTAGTTCAGGACAAGGCATTTGAATTTGGATAATATGGTTTTCTTCTTTTTCATTTGTTTCTGTTTATTTATTGGTGTTCAGGTTTGTCATCTGAACGATCCGTGATGAAATGTTCCTCTTTTTCATCCAGAAAAATTGAACTGCATTTTCTATTGTTGGTGATATTGTTAATAAAAGATATTTTTTTCATTCTTTATCTAAGATTGTACAGATAGCTTTCCAGATGCATACATCAAATAATTGGAGTGCATTTCTACGTAATCTTGAAGATACAGACTGGAAGTAGTATCGACAGTTACAGAAATTATACGCACAGTTCATGATGTTAATCTGTAAACTGATCCTAATGTGTGTCGGCCACAAGCTACTAGCCTTGCAGATTTCATCAGCAATGACAGAAGAATTTGTTTGGTAGAGATATAATTAAGGACGGAAAAAATCATTTGAAAAAACAATCAGATAGTAGGTTAATATATATCATAGGATATTCTCCTAGCTACTACTACTACATATATGTGTTCATCATGCATATAGTATATGATTGGGCTCACATATCATAAGCAAATAAATGATCATGCGGTGCAAGTGCAATATAGGACGTTTAAACGAACGCACGGAAGCAGAGAGATGCATTAACAAATCCCAAATGTCTGACCCGTTGAGGATCGATTTGCCCACGATATATATAGAGAATGTAACCAACAACGACATGCCATCCAACTCTGTGATCTCAACTGCCAAACTAATACATACTACAGCTTGATTTCCCATTGATGCATCTACATTTTCAGAGCTTGATTAATTCAATCAAACTCTTGCAACAGGATAGTTGTGTAACTATGGTGATACTATGATTTAGCCTCTTCAAAGGTATCGACTCTAGTCTTGTCAGACAATGAGGTATCAACTGTAGATAGTAGTTCAAATCATGTATAACCATTCAGTTTCCAGAATTAATCATATTGCAACTTGTAAGTAGAAGTCAATCACTGGCTAGCCTGTACCCATGTGCCACACTGCTAGGATATGATTCAGAGAGGAAGCTATCAGAGATTAGTCGCCGTGCAGAAATGAGCAAATAGTACTGACAAATATTTCAAGCTGTAGCCACTACCTGGTAAGCTTTCTTTCACAACTTGACTTATATCAAAGGACTAGCAGTACACAAGAACAGACAATCTCCTCTCTCAATTTTTGTATTCGCCCATTAAAATTCTATCTTAATTACAGTGTAATAGTATATAGTTGCAAGTGTGTGCATTCAATATATATAATCTTCGAGAGATGGAAAAGAAGAGGGTAAAAGAATGTGAATGTGATGAGATGAACTAGGAACAAAATGTAATCATAATCTACTTGGTGGCAAGGTTGTCGAGAGCTTGCTGCAACACTGGCCTGAATCGGGTGACGTCAATGGTGATGTCCTGGCCGTCCATGAGCGTCTGCTTCATGAAGGCGAACCCTCTCTTGTGCAGACCCGTCGGGTTGGTGAAGATCTCGTCGCCGGCGGGGTACTTGTCCTTGAGCGAGCTCTCGGCGACGGCGATCTCGTACTGGATGTAGTTGAGCCCCATCGCCGCCGCCGGCTCGCCGTAGTCCATGCGCGCGATCCACTGGAGGCCGCCCCATGGCACCACCTGCACCATCGTCGCTCCCGGCGGCAGGAACATCATGTTCGTCAGGCCGGCGCCATGGACGCCGAGCAGCGCGTCGCACGAGTTGATCAGCTTCCCCACCTGCTCGATGGAGTTCCCCACGTCCGACTCGTTCACCACCACCTCGAACCCGACCTCCTCCGCCGCGCGGACCACGGCGTCGAGGTTCAGGAGCAGCCTGGTGCGCCCCCGGGAGATGACCAGGAGGCGCGGCCGCCGCCCGGTGCCGTCGCCGAGCCGCGTCGGCGCGTCGCGCGGCAGCGACAGCGCGCGGCGGAGGAACCGCGTGAAGTCCGGCGTCGCCAGCCCGTCCAGGCTGCGCTCCCGCTCGATGATGAGCTCCCGGTGCGCGCGGAGGCTGACGACGGCGCTCGGGAAGCAGTGCACCTCGCCGGCGGCGCCGGCCTTGGCGAGGTCGATCGGCGCGTGGCGCGACAGCTCGCGGAGGAGCTTGTCGTACTTGACGAGCCACCACGACGCCACGTTCACCATCACCAGCTGCACCCCGCCGCGGTAGCGCTGCACGGTGTTGTACAGCGGCACGATCACGTCGGAGAAGTCGTGGAAGATGTTGCCCGTGTACCCGCCGATGGAGAACGCCACGGCGGGCACGTCGTGCGCCCGCGTGCACCGCGGCGCGCCCGCCGCGTCGCCCGTGGCGCGCACGGTGATCTCCGTGACGCGCCCCATGCACGTCGCGTCGCCCTTCCGCGGGTACGGCCGCACCTTGTGCGACACCGCCGCCGCCGCCGGGTCGACGACGACGACGAACTCCGACGTGTTGGCCGCCATGCGGACGTCGCCGGAGAAGTCGCAGATGTCGGTGCGGAAGTCGGAGAAGTCGCAGAGCGGCCGCCGGTCCACGGAATCTGCGTTCATGGCGCGCACGTTGTCCGCCACGTTAGTTGGTGCCCAAAATTCAAAATTAAACTGCACTTGCAGTATTAGACATGGCGTTGATTTTAATTAATTCCTCGGTTTGAAATTAATCACGTACGTGACGTCACCGTTTGCTCCGGCGTGCGAGCTGGCTCGCCGGCGTCCTGCAGCTTCACCGGAAGCTGCTGCTGATTCTTCTCCTCCACTGTAAAAGAAGAAGAAACACGATTTTTTCTCTTGAGAAAATTAAATTTCAACGGAATTTGGAATTCTGCAATAATTTGACTGCGTGCAGGTGTGTGATGGGTACATGGCTGGTCGGGACGAGCAGTGGTTTCTTCCACGGCGGCCGTGGTCTTCACGGCGTTGTCCTCGTCGGCGACTGGCAGGTGGGTTCAATTTAGAGGTCAGATTTTCTCCATGAAAGCTACAGGCGAGTCAAAAACCAGTCCTTTGCGAAAGTTGCAGTTGCGTCGTATACCTGCAGGTGCAGCCTCGTCGCCGGAATCTGCCGCGACACGCTCCGCCGCCTCCTCCGCCTCTTCCGATCTCTCGCCGGCGACCTCCTGGATTATCACCGTGTCTTTCACCCCTACCAATTAATTCAGTATAAGTTCATAAGAAAAACGAACTAAATCTATGGACAGAATAATGAATGATTATGGGTTACATATATACATTCTGTCTTTTCAGCGGTTTGATCGACGCTCTGCTGCATATGAGCATGTCTCTCTCCCTGCTGCGGCAGGATGTCGACATGGAAATCCCGGGTGAGGCCGCCGGACGATGATCGGTGCAGCATCTTCATCGCCGGCATGCGTGCGTCTTCCAACGACTCCCTGGGGCTCACTGCATATGCAATGCAGTTCAGACTTTTGCTGCTTAATTTGCACCGAGTGCATATGCATGATGCAACGGAGATCGAGATCGATGATAAGAAAGAAAGTGAGAGGAGGAAGAAGAAGAAGAAGAAGAAGAAGAGATGAAGAAGAACATACGGGTGGAGAAGACGGTGGCGTCGGGGCGGGAGGAGAGGAGGAAGGTGAGGGAGATGAGGAAGCAGCCGACGACGATGGTCAGCAGCCTGAACCTCTGCGACTCGAACCGCAGGGCGTGCAGCCGCCCGCTGCTCCCCCCCGGCTTCATGGCTTCAGCTACCTTCTTCTTCTTCTTCTTCTTCCTCTCTTGCTAATGGCGGCTTAGCTCTGCATGCCTCCTCTCGTCGTCAGGCTAAGCTAGCAAGCTAGAAAGTGGAAGCTTCTGTGCACAAGCAAAATGGAAGGCAGAGACGATCGGGTTATATTCTTCTCTCTCTCTCTTTCAGTTCCCTGCTTGCTTGTCTGTCAGATCGACTATGCCTGTGCCGTTGGGTTGGTGCAGTGCAGTGCACCTCCGATATTGTCAAGCAAATTCGAGCTTCTTCTCGTGCGTGAATTGGACAACTGAACCTGGCACTCGCTCTCTGCGACGTATATGAATTGAAAGAGCTAGCTTTGATGTGCTAGCATTACCGAACCATGCATACTTACTATACTGATCTACTTACATTGGATGACCTCCTTCGGTCATCCCCCCCAAAAAAAAAAAACTATACTGATCTACTACTTCTTTCTGCCTTACTTTTTTTTCCCTAGTTCTTTTAACGAATTTGCCGGGTCATGCAAGTTTGTAGGACGTGTTTGTGGAGGTCCATGTTCTTCAATTCACCGTGCGATATATTCCATCTCCTAGATATTCTTGAATTTTCTAATTCATGCAGCTGATGGGGGTGTGCTGTACGTGGATGGCACGCAAAAAAGAAGAAGATTGGTCTTATTCAGATTCAGAACCATTAATTTTGAGTTTTTGACTACTCAGACTCCATTGCAAAACTAGTACTGATGATTGATTTCTTCAGCATCAGACTCCATGCATGTTACCTTGGTCAAGTGATTGATGGGTGTATATACATGTACATACTGAGATATATAATCAATGTGCAGCACGGCATGGACAGTTGGAGATCAACAGCGAATCATAGGGTCGTCTACAGAAACATATGCTACTATCATTGAAGAATATGGAGTTCAATAATGGATTCAAGTTAATGACTCCTACCTATATAGGAGTATCTATTGTAACTGTGCTTTGTCCCATGTGATTAATTTTTCTCAACTAATACTAGCAGTGGTATGATACTGTAGTATATCATTCCCTCCACCAACTCCCTAGCGCTGTTTCTTTCAGACGATCGAGCTTATATCATTCGTTCACGGATGGATGATGCCACCAAATACATGCATTTCATATGGTTCACGGCAATTTTGTATTGAACAAAGTAACACAAAGTTGAATTGATCACAAATTAAATCGATGGTCTATTCATGTAGTATATGTTATTCAAGAAACTCTGTACACGTTTCTTGCACTATTCTTTGTCTGAAGGATCCTGAAACATTTGTAGTTTTGCAAGCACCTTTGTACTGACTGAAAATGGGATACTGCTAGTTTTTTTTTTTTTCGAATGCGCAAAATAATTACACTTCAATACATTAAAAAGGAAAAAAAGGAAAAAAGAGTTTTTTTTACACAACGCAATCAGCCAAACAGGCCTATACTAGGGGAAGGAAGAAAAAGCAAAACAAAAACCGTAGCTAGGAAAAAAGAAAAACTACTACGGCAGCTAAACACAACTCCGATAAGTGGGAGGAGGGGAAGAGCCACACTACACTCCAAAAAAAACCCCAAAAACAGCAACGCCAGCAAAAGACTATAGACAGCCATCCGAGAGGATAGACTATAGAACCACGGGCACCGAAGAGAGCATCGAGTTTCGTTCCTTACACAACTGCCAAGAGATCAGGGGTACTGCTAGTTAGCACAGTGCTATATCAGTATGGCATAACTTCAGATAGATATAATTAAGGTTTCACTTGCTAGTAAAAATCACAAAGAAGAGAATTAACGGGAGGCAACAAGGAGACATCCGAAGCTTCCAATACATCCAAATCTAACAGAAAAAAAAAAGAAAAAGAAAAGGGGCATACAAAGAACTCTGATGAAAAGAAGATTCCAAAACGTCCACAGATGATGGTTTGGCATATCAAGAAAAAGTCCAGAGAGCGTCAGGACAGGCACGTTTCAGGGTTGACATGCTCCCACATGACATGATCCGTCGATCCTGCAGCCACGGAATTAATTAATCATAAAATGCCCGGAAATGCAACCATAAACTAATTATTAAAGCTAAATATTTGAGAACTTTTACGGTACAATATACTAACAGTATATACTGCAAGTATTTACAAGGGTATTATAGGAATATGCTAAAAAAATGTAAGGGCAATTTAGTAATTCTCTTTTCAGATCAATCCCTATCTGTTGATGCCGTCGTGCGAGTGAGAGGGAGAGATGAGCCCTACCGGCGGCAGAATTCCTCGGTGTCCCTCTTCCCGCCATCTCCCTGTGGTGGCATGGCCACATGCAGTCCCGCATACTGGCGGCAAGCCAGCCGGCAACGCAGTGCCCTCTGCCGAGCCGGAGTTAGAATTAAACACCATGCGCACTCTACAAGCATACGCCCTGATCTGTGCATAAAAATGCATACATGTGCAGTCTACAGATGTCTGTTATTTACTCTTTACCCTCTTCTTCGTTCATGCAATCTGCAAGAGGGGTCATGTTGTTACAAATACTCTATGCCATTTTAATCTGAAGATGGCAATGGTATAGGGAGTGGGGGAGCTAGCCAGCTAGGTCCGGCAACCCGAGCTCGGTGCTCGGGCTGTACCGTCTACCAACATACAGCAATCTTAAGCAGGGTAGCCGCATGTACTACTTAATCACCATTAATTCCTTTAATTAATACGCTTAATCTACATCTTCCAAACATCCAATGAACATCATATCAACAATGCAAACTAGGAAATTAATCAATATCTGACAGCCTCACACCGGTGCACCTTTGCCTGGGTGAATGACGGGCATGGGGAATCACTATTGGATCTTGCGAGGAACACCTAGTAGTGTGCTTGTCTGCTGGAATTAACGGAATTGCCCCAGCGCAATAAAATAGAAAGACAAATATGCCATTTTTAATTTTATACTGTAAGTGGTAAGTGGTAAGTAAATCAATCTACACCGTTAGATCATTTATATTGGCAGTATATACTAGTAGTATATTGTACCGTAAAAGTTCTCAAATATTTTCCAGGGAGCGTAGCTACCTGCATCTTAATCAGCTGCAGTTCAGTCGAGTTCATGCCTAAGTTTTTTTTTATGGATCAACTAATTAATTTCCAGAACAGAACAAAGCCTAGCTTAATATGCTGGTTTTGCCATTTTCATGCTAAAAAAAATGCCTATGACACATGCCTTGCCGTGACCGATTGACAATACTTAATTGCCTTTGCCTTGCCATGAGTGATTGACAATGATTCTTTCTTGTACAGCAGCGATGGATAGTGACGGAGCACTAACCTGTAAACACTATTACATAGTGCTAGTCTGCAAATAAGAACAGGGAGCACAACTTCACTTCTACGCAGCAGATATGCATATATGTATACTGATTGATGAACCTTTGCCCATAGAAATATAGAATACATGCATACAGCACAAGAATCTCCCAAATACTGTTGTCTGATTTGTATTGAGCGGTTGGAGGCATATGCAGACAGATGATGTGCTAGCCATTTATGCAGCACCACTAATGAATTCTACATTTCTACTACTTTTGATACTCTCTTCCAACTTATAATTGTCATCTTTTGTCCCACTACAAATTATTTTCTTGTACACGTACGTATGCAACCATTCTTTAATTTACATCAATCACATATAAGCAGCCATGGCATGTGTGTAATAATATCACCTCCGATTACGAAGCATGCATGCATGTTGTCCTAGAATGCATAGAGACGAAAATTGTTGGTTAAATATATTGTCACGGAAATGGATCCACATATAACGTCACAAGTTTTCTAATTAGTATTTCAATAATTATATATATGTACTGCATCAATTGTCCAAAGCAATGCCTTACTGATTTGGGGGAGAAACCACAACTATTTTCATTAAATTAATTGGGTATGAAATTAACAACTACTATATCATTACCCTTTTTTTAGAAACTATATATATTCTTATTACTGTTGATATCATCTGGTATCACACATATAAAATTGGGATTGGACATTAACAAACTATATATTGACTGACTGATCAATGCAAGGAGATGAGAATCCAAAAACCAGAATTTGGAAAGTGTTTGGTGGGACATTCCATTGATCAATCATTTGCAACGGTTGATACGTACTACGTACCCGTGGCGCTACAGTGGCTCCATATATTTTTTTTTTGGCAGATTCGTTGGTTGCAATTGCATGCACAACGTGCCGGACACAATATACTCTCTCCATTTCAAATTGTTTGGCACCGTTGACTTTTTAGCATATGTTTGACCGTTCGTCTTATTCAAAAAAAATTTGTGAAATATGTAAAACTATATGTATACATGAAAGTATATTTAACAATGAATCAAATGATATGAAAAGAATAAATAATTACTTAAATTTTTTAAATAAGACGAATGGTCAAACACGTACTGAAAAGTCAACGGTGTCAAATATTTTGAAACGGATGGAGTATATTTGTATCGTTCTGTGCTGTACGTATCTGTCTAAAATAACCCATTGACCTCACAACCGATATGGTGTGTGTGTATAACAATCCTGTATGTTACTTCTAGTATACCTCACCATGCATGCATATATTGTGTTTCCTAGCTATACATTATTTCACTAAACAATGCAGGCCAGGTACGTATGCCTGTTCAAATGCTGTAATTTATTTTTAAATATTTATAAAAGTATATTTGAGTTTTCAAGTTTTATGTTTCTATACTCGATAACGCCCTTTAGGATGGTTTTTTATATTAAAAAAGCACCATCTAAAATGCATTTTTTTTCATGTGGAAAACACTAGTTAGTCGCGCCAATGGGCATGCAGCAATTTTGCATGCAGTCCCCTTATCACTCTCCGAGAGGGTGTTTTTTTCGACCCGACTAAGGGATCGTTTGATTTGGCGCTCGATAAACTCACCCCATGTTATCAGTTCCAACACATGAGAACATGAAGAGGCCACGTTTAATGAAGTCGTTCCAATTCTTTCATGACAGAGATAATTTGCAATCAATAAACTCATCTCAGTTTATCAGATTGAACACATGGGAACATGAAGAAGTCGCACTTAATGAAGTTGTTCGGCTATATTTGCGCACATGTTTCATCCAACGAGTTGGGACAGCTTCACTCAGCATGACTCTTTGTTCCCATGTGTTCGATCTGATAAAATGAGATGAGTTTATCCAGCGCTAAATCTAACAACTCTCTAGCCTGGTAAAGAAACACCCCCTTAGAGGCAACAGTAGGGTTGCTTGCAAAATTGCCATCCGCCCAGCGGTCACCCCGTTAGCACGAGCTGATGATCGTTTGCCACATCATAAAAAAAATCCCTCCGGTAGGTTGTCTTTTTTTTTAAAAAAAAACACCTAGGCAGTTTTTGAATAATGGGAAAGGAAAATGATTTTCCACCCAACAAAAGACATCTTTAAATCCTAACCGTTCATTATCTCTCTTCCATTTAATCCTATCCCTTCATTTATTTTTTAATCCCAATCCTTCCCCCGTTTTCCATTATCCAAACACACTGGAAGGCGTTGAGGGCATAGATTTATTGAATTTGAAAACGAGACTATAATGGCCGCACAAAATCCAATCGTAATCCTGTTATGGCCGCCCAACCAACATGGGTCGCACGTAAGTCGATATCCCGTTTCGGCCCAACTATAATGGGCCGAACGTAATTCATATTCCCCTTCTTGGGACGCACGGGATCGCAAGCCCGTTAACTCCCAACTACTATAGGGGGGGCCTAATACGCGACTAGTCGCGCGCCCCCCAGGCGCGCGATCAGTAGTACTAGTACTACTACTAGTCCAGTACTAGTACTATTACTATACTACTATTACTACACTATTGTTGTTATACTACTACTAGTATTACTACTATAAAAAATATATATATTTTTGATGTATAAAAAAATATACACGTATACAAACTTTGTATACGATGTGTACAAACTTTATATACGATGTATACAAACTTTGTATATGATGTGTATAAACTTTGTATAGGATATATACAAACTTTATATACGTACGTATTAAAAAAATAAAAACGCGAAAATACATCGCATATACAAAGTTTGTATAGGCGTATACAAACTTTACATACGCGTATACAAACTTTACATACGCATATACAAACTTTGCATACATACGAATACAAACTTATATATTCATGCATCTTTAAAAATAAACGGGAAAACAACCACTGAAGAGAAACCGGAAAAAAAAAGAAAAAACAAACCGAAAAGAAACGAGAAAAAGGGAGAAAAAAAAAGGGGAAAAAAAGAAACCAAACAACCGAACAGAAACGACAAAAAAAAAACGGAAAACTCGCTACTCCCTCCTCCTCTCGCGCGGCGCGTCCGCCGCCCCTCTCCGCGCGTGACACGTGGGCGCGCGCGACTGATCGCCGAATAGCTTTTTCGACTACTATAGACATCATGTAAGTTACATAGGCCCAACACAAATGGGACCCAGGAGCCCAGTATCCTGGTTGTAGTTGGGCCTCCAAGATGGGCCCAATGAGACAAACCGACGACCTATCGTGTTTGGGCCGTTGGGTGTTTCTGGCCCAACTCGCTTCCCGCTGGAATGAAGAAATACTCTTCCACTTCTTTTCAAGAATCAGAAAAAAAAATGAGCGACGTTGTAATTGATCTCCACTAGTCCACTACAATCATCAGGAACAAAAGCATATGTGTATCTTCCACTGACGCCATGCAGCTCTGTACAAGGTAGTACAAATTACAAAAGTACAGAGTGTATATGTATCCCAGTATATATAAGAACTAAACTTATATATGTCAGGTAAAAAAATGAATTAATCAGCAAAGAATGAGCTACTATATATGTATAGAAACCTAAAAAAAAGGAATACAAGAATGAAAAAAGAAAAAAAATGTTCAGTATAACTAGTATAGCGAGCTAGTCCTGAAGAAGATCAAGCACACGCAGAAGCGTAGGCCTGAACCTTCGCAGGTTGAGCTTGACATCCTGCGTCATGACGATGTCAGCGAGCGCCTTCCACCCCTGGCCATGGATGGCCATGGGGTCCCTGAACACGGCGTGCTCCCTCGGGTACCTCCTCGCCAGGCTGCTCTCCTCCGCCGCCACGTGGTACTCCACGTACCTGAGCTCCATGGCCGCCGCCGGCGCGCCGTAGAAGTTGGTCGCCATCCACTCCATCCTCCCCCACGGCACGATCTGCACCACCACGCCGCCCCGGGGGAGGAACGCCTGGTTCGTCAGCCCGGCGCCGTGGACGCCCACCAGCACGTCGCACGAGTTCACCGCCGACGCGAACCTCTTCACGCCGCCGCTGCCGCCGCCGACGCCGGCCTCGGAGACCACCACCTCGAATCCCAGCTCCCTCGCCATGGCCGCCACCTGCCGTAGGTTCAGCAGCTTCCTCGTCCGCCGCCGCGATATGATCAGCATCCTCGGCTTCTTGCCGCTCGTCTCGCCGAGCACCATGGGCTTGTCCCTCCTCAGCCCGTACGCGTGGCGCAAGAACCTCGTGAAGTCGACCATGGTGTACCCCTTGGGGTTCCTCGTCGGATGCTGCCCAAGGATCAGGTCCCTGTCTCTCACCAAGCCCACGATCACATGATCGAAGCAATGGACATCGCCGTCGGAGTCGAAATCGACGACGGCTCGATGCGAAAGCCGCCGGAGCACCGGCTTGTACTTCTGAATCCACCATTGCTTGTAGTTTGCAACGAACAGCTGTACCTTCCCTTTGAAATGGAAGGTGGTGAGGTACAGAGGCACCAGCACGTCTGCCATGTCATGGAAGAAGTTGCCGGTGTAGCCGCCGATGGAGAAGATGACCGCGGGGACGCCATGGCTGACATTGCAGCTGGGAGCATCGCCTTCACTTGCAGCTGATGTGATGGCCACTTCTCTGACAAGAGGTAGCAGGAAGTCGTCCCGGCGTGCATATGGCCTGATGCGCCGCGCCGCTGCCTCCCCTTGCTGCAATGGCATGGTCAGGGTAACCGAGGAGGTCGCCGGAGAAACTCGAACGTCGCCGGACAGGTGGCAGACGATTGGCCTTGCATAAGGGAAGCCTTCATCTTTACTCTTATCATCACAACTTATCTTACTCTTAGGCTTTGGAACTTCACTCTCTGAAACTGCTGGAACAGAAGGGAAAAAAATTCAGAGATAGAATTGGCCAGTATACTTCTATGGCTGATTTTACTGGGGATTTAATCATGTACTAGGAACTATTGAGTGTATCAAGAAATCTCTGAAACTGCTGGAAAAGAGGGGGGAAAACAGAAATGAATTTGGCCAGTTTTCTATGCTGATTTTACTGAGAAATTAATTAACTAGGCATAAAATAAGTGCATCAAGAAATCTTTTGTATTATTGTTGTTAACTCTAACCTGTCTGTGGTGATTTTGTCAAAGATTCTTCCTTTCCAGGAGGGGGATCATTCTCTGTAGAGATTGCAACCTGTCTCTCTGATCTTGATTTATTCTCTGAATCTGTCCCATTCTTAAAATTTTCATTTTTAAACACGGAACCTGCAGAGCATTTTGAATTTGTAAAGATTTTTTTAAATAAAATACAACCTCTCCCTCACCTCAACTAAAAAACAATGCAAGAATCCTTTATTGGCACCCTAATCATTAACTGAAAGAAAATTTAGCAGATTGTCACTAACACATGCTAACAAGTAGTAATAAGCAGCATTTTGAAAAGATCGTTGATGATACATATGTTGATGCTTCTACAAGAATCTACAAGCTGTTTCACACTTTTCAGATAATGGAAGCAAAACAAAGTTGTTCACTTGCATGATGATTGTGGAATATGTTCTTGCACTTTGCCATCATATTCTAGTCTTTAAATTGTTGTAGGATGTTCGCTCAGTACATCGCACTAGTACATTGGTACATATTTTTATGAATTTCCACTCATCTAGAACACAAAGAACAAGAATCATTAGCTCATCACCTAGAACAAGAAGGGAACAGATAATTATCTTATTACCTTGTTTCCCCTTCAAAATTAGCATTGGGTAAGACAACGGTTTCCAGTGACAAAACCCAAGGCCTTTGCAAGTTTCAACAAGAAAAGTAACTACTCTAGAAACAGCAAGTACAAAGACAATTACTACTCCTAAATATCATTGAAATGAGCCAACTAATTGCATGCATAATTGAGGGCCATCCATATATGATCAAATCAATTATAGAACTGCAAGGGGACCCAATCAGAAAATCCCAAACCTAGAAAAAGCACAATGTGGTAGTAGTACTAGTACAGTAGTACTTTGGCTTGCATTGCCCCTGAACCTGATGCAACTGGACTAGTGTTGGCGTGGTCCAGGACACTGATGCCACTCACAAAACATGCAGTGATCTGGATGAACAGTGCAAATGGGGGGGGGGATGCATGCATCAGCTGGAGCACGAGATAGATGATTCTTGTTCCAGCTCATTTGCTCACCTAATTCCGGCGATCTTGTCGAAATATCTTCATCGACCCTGCCCATAATCAGAGGAGCAACAGGAATTCGAGGTACATTCGTACTGGCGCTGCCTTCCCAAGAACTCACCATCCTGCTCCTGGTTCCAATCCCTGAATATATATATACAATTCAGAAAAAAAGAACAGCAAAGTAAGATCAAATTGGAGCGAAATGGAAGAGCAGAATTCGAGAAATCCAAGAAAGAACTGAAGAGAGCAGCAGTCTTTTAGTCTCCTTACTTACGCTGGGATTGAGACGAGAGAGAGGAGAAGAACTTGACGACGCAGAGGCAGATAAGCAGGGCGAGGAGGCACGCCGGAAAAAGCCTGACGACGGCGAGGTGCCTGCCGGGCTCGACCTTGCTCAGGTTCTTGGCAGCCGCCGCCGCGGCCCTCCCGTTGCTGTGCCTCGGCTTCCTCTCCCTCGCCGCCGCCTTCATGGCGACGGCTCTGCCGCCACCGTGCTGCTGCGCCACGAAGGCTCTGGCCGCGCGCTCCTGCAGCTCAGCTGCGGCGTGGTCTGGTCTGATTCAGTTGAAGAGGAGACAGTGGAGTCGTCAGGAGGAGTGGAGTGTGGCGCTGCAGCTGGTGCGACATGTGAGGGGAGTAGACTAGGTTGCAGTGCAGGGTGGAAAGTGGCCATTATTAGCATTTGCTTTGCTGCATTAGTTTCATTAATTGTACTTACGTCCTGGTTTACCTATGCTGGAGTACTAATAACCTGTGATTGATTAATTACATTGACATAGATCAGCTACCTTTTCTGATGAGTTGTACTACTAGACTACTAGTACATGAAGAGAGAATTGCTGCTATCATTGGTGAATGGTGATGTCTGATCTATGGCTTATTCGGACCGGAGGAATTTCACGGGGAATTTTGATGGAACCGAACTGTTTCATGTAAAATTCCTGCATTTCAAGAAGCTCTTAGGTGTTCTTTCTGTTGGATTAGGACTATTATGAAATGATGGTTATGCAACTTGGACATGCGAATGGATCATACAGTATGCTGCGACGAGTCATTAGTGTCAGTGAATCCAGCAGGATAGGAGTACTTCGATCGCAGGACGTCGAGTGGGACTACTCCCAAATACTGTAGGGCTTCGTCACTGAAATCAAAATCGATTTTCTCTGAATCCAGAGACCTACCACCGACACGCCGACGCCGGTGAGACGAGTAAATTCAGACAAGGATTAGTTACTTGTAACAGCTTCAATTTAATAAGCTTGGATTTGCACGTACAGTTGAAAGGCAACTGCACAGTGGCCACCCATGTGGCAGTTGGGCAACATGAACACGAGATTGAGCTTCTTCAACAATTAATATTATAAACCCTTTTTGACTTTTAACCTATTCAAATATTTTAATTTTTTAAAGATTTAATTAAGTTTATAAAAAAATATAGTAGCATTTTTAACACAAAACAAATATATCATCAAAATATATTTAATGGTAAATTTAATAAAATTAATTTAGTATTTTTGCTAAATTATTCTATAAACTTGATCAAATTCAATAAAATTTGACTTTGAAAAAATTGAAGTAAAACGGAGGAAGTAGTGAGTATTATACCGAAGCTTCTCTCTTCATTTGTACTCCTACTTTACTATTCTCTTCCATGTTCACAATCACAAGCTTGCTGAAAGCCGCCGCTGTATTTGATTTGAAGAAGGTGTGTTCTATGGGCGCATGTGAGATGCTGGATGATACTGTTGCTGCTGCATCGGTATACAAGACGAGAGCAAAATTCCAAATGCATCTTCCTTCCTACTACCATCATCCTATCCTATCCCTACATTTTACTAGTACCTTACCTTCTCCCCTCCCTCCCTGACAAACTGAAAAGCTAGCCTCTATACATTCAGACCGTTGTTCACGGGGACGAGACCAGCCAGTGGTTGGTGTACGCCACTCTCTCTCTATCTCTCTGCATATCTGCCAACAAATCTGTACAGCTGTGGTTATAAAACTTAAAAACTGTTCATCCAAGAAAATTGCTCCCCTTCAAGATGGAAAACCATAAGGAGGGAGTACATTTGAGAATTTCAATACTGATCATATATAAACCACTCACCTTACATAACAATCTGCAAGAAAATGTTCTTTTGCCTAATTGCCAGCAGATGAACATGCATGATTTGTACTGCATTCTGAATATGCACTCCAGTTGGGTATATGATATATCCAATCAGTACATATCATCATATAATATATTTTTTAGATAATGAGAGATCACCATATGATAGAAACTAGTATTAAGTATAAGAGTCGGTTTCAATTTTGAAGTAGAGTTGGATTTATTAATGGCACCGGCGGTTTCTGCAAGTTCCCGCCGTTTGCATCGTTGTCATGTTCCTGTTTGCCAATGTTGCCTTGCTTGCTTGCACGTATCTGCTACTACTCACCTGCCATTCCGGCTGGCCTTGCATCGCTCCATCACATTACAACCTGTTCGTTCCTCCTCTCGTTGTTGACATCACAGGTCAAAGTTGGCGACGGCTACTCCTCTCCTACCGGCCCAAGAACAATCCCATGTGGGCCCAATCATACGTGGGCTTGTTGTCTCGGCCCATGGATTGAATATTACTATATTGTTTTTTTATGGAATTATTAATATATTGTTTATATTGTTTAGAGGAAACCTGGCATTTTGTGTGTTAGTGACAGGTGAGAAGGAGGCGGCGGTTAGTTGCGCAACTGAACCGACGACTCATCAGTTTCTGTTGGACAACCAAACTCTACCAACCTCTGCTACTTGTTTACAACAACAACACACTCAATGCAAATCTGTCATCTCTAACAACGACATGTGCATATGTGCTACACAATGTACTTGTACAATTTCTAGTAGTTGTTGGGTATTCTAATTGTACTTTTTTTAAAAAAAAAATGAACACTTATTTGATCGAGTTGAAACTAGAGATCACCAAATGCGAACACAATTCAGTGCTAATAATGAATCGATTTCGTTCCATTCCATCCTCCATTATGTGCATCAAAGGGAATACAAAGAGAAGTAGTATAATGTAACTGTAATCCTGATCAAATAATCGATCGATTTCTTTTTTCTGTGAAAGAACTCGAAAGAATAGAAAGCAAAAAAAAAAAAGCATAGAGAACGAAAATGAAAATGTTGCAGCTAGGCATTCAAAAAAAAAAAAATGTTGCAGCTAGTAGCTAATTACAGTAGTCTTTGTGGATGGAGCTCGCCTCTACTGGTGTTTGAGGTAATCCATGGCGTCGCGGAGGAGGGGCTCGAAGCGGGCGAGATCGAGGCGGATGTCCTGCTTGCCGAGGTAGTACTCGGCGACCTTCCCCCACCCGCTCCGGTGGACCGACTCCGGGTCGCGCACCGCCGGGTGGTCGCGCCCCAGCGTCTCCACCAGCGTGCTCTCCTCCACGCCGGCGGAGTACGCCATGTACTTGAGCCTCATGTCCTCCGCCGGATCGCCGAAGTCCACCTTCCCGATGTGCTCCATCTTCCCGTACGGCACCACCTGGATCAGCACCGCCCCCGTCGGCAGGAACACCGAGTTCGTCAGCCCCGCGCCATGGACGCCCATCAGCACGTCCGCGCGGTTCACCTCCTTGGCGAACTCGCCGACGTCCACGTTGAACGGCGGGTCGCCGATCACCACCTCGAACCCGATCCGCTCCGCCGCCCGCACCACCTCCTCCACGTTCATCAGCTTCCGCGGGTGCCGCCGCGAGATGATCATCAACCGCGGCCTCACCGCCGCGGCATTGTCGACGAGGCTCACCGGCGCGTCGCGCGGCAGCGAGAAGGTGTCGCGGAGGAACTTGGTGAACTCCGGCATGGAGTGGCCCGTGGGATCCCGCGCCGGGTCGATGCTGAACTCCTTGTGCATCCGGATGCCGACCACCGCGCCGGGGAAGCACCGGACCTTGTCGTCCCTGTCCATGTCGACGATGTCGTGGCGCGACAGCCGGTCCAGGACGCGCTTGTACTTGCCCACGTACCACATCTGGATGTTCTCCACAACGAGCTGCACCTCGCCGTCGAACCGCCGCGCCTGCAGGTACAGCGGGATGAGCACGTCGGAGAAGTCGTGCCAGTAGTTGCCCGTCAGCCCGCCCATGGCGAACACCAGCGCCGGCACCGGCGACCGCACGTCGCACGCCGGCGCCTCCGCCGCCGACGCCACCTCCCGCACCGCCACCTCCTTGAGCCCGCCCATGTGCTTCCGCGAGTAGGGCACGACGCGCCACTCCCGCGGGTTCGGGTTGCTGCCGCCGCCCTCGATCGGCGGCGGGATCACGACGTCGTGCGCCGCGCCGTGGATGCGCACGTCGCCGTCGATGCTGCACACGTCGGACGCCCATGGCCCCTGGATGTCGCACGCCGGCTTCTTCGCCGGCGCGCTCTCCTCCACCGTGGTGGTGACGTCATCTGCATCGACCAAGGAAAAAAAAAACAACAATTGCTTTAACTTTTTATATTTCTTTTGTTCTGATTCTCACAAGGCAAAATATGCATCGAACACGTCTCTGCTGCTTTCCATTTCAGAAAAAGATTGAAGGAATGAACTTTAGGTTGGATTTTGCACAAAACTAATCAAAGATTTGTACTTTATATTTCATAAATGATTCGCAAGTAGGGGGAGAAAAGTACCAGTGGGCTTCTCCTTGGTGTGGTCCTCTTCTGTTTCTTTCTGTATCTCTATCTCTTCAGCTGACGGGGTCTTCTCCTGTACCACCGCTGCATGCTCATGCTCTGCCTTTGGTGCTTGCCGCTGCTCTGCTCCATGCAAAAGGATAAAAAAGTGTTAGAGATTTAGAAGCGAAATTCGGATGGATTTTGGTTGAATTAGTAAGGGAAATTTGATTTTGGTTTGATGAAAATGATTGGAATAATCACAGGTTAATTAATTAGTTGGTTGGATGATCGATCAGTTTACCTATGATAGGGGGCAGCTGTGGCCTCTTCTCTTCCACAGGCGGGGGGATCGTCGGGGAGGCGTGTCCCGGTGATGTTTTCCGAATTGCTGCATCATGTGCAGTTCAATTTGATCAGTTTCAGTGTTTAAATTTCTTTTAAAAAGTCTGAATATTGTAAGGTGATGCACTGAAAATAAGTTGGGAGCTTGGATTCAGGATGGTGATCGGTGCCCTGATTTTGCGGTTACGTGCAGAAACAAGCAAACGCGTGCTTAGAATCCCGACGAATTCCGCATGTATTACATACTCGTTTGATTCAGAATTATTCAAAAAAAAATCCTCGAAAAAGTGATCCCGATTAACCATGTAATCAAAAAGTTTTGGTCTGAATCATGCAGGAAGAATCAAAAGAAAACCTATAAAACTGCACCATAATTCAGAATTCAGAAAACTTGCAAATTTTTTTTTGCTGAATTATGCTCAATCATGAACCAAATGAAACTCACCGTTGGGTGCAGCGATCGCGAACTGCTCGGAGACGGTGAAGTATGTGAGGAGAACAAGGAAGAAGCCGAGCAAGAAGCCGACGCCGAGATACTTCTGAGCTGCACCCTTCAAGCTCTTCATGAGCTTCCCATGATCGCCTCCCATCTCTCCTCCCTCTCCTCTCTCTCTGAATGTCTGAATCCTTCCTACTCTTTGCAGCTCTACTCTTTCTCGTGATAAATATGTGTGTGTGATTGCCTGCCTATGCAGGTATCCTAGAGACACCAACTCCCTGACATGGGAGATGGAGAACCTTCCAAGAACTCTTCTCTTCTCTTCTCCTCAATAGACCAGTTCTTGATGATGTCCTTTATGCCTGGCTGCTCTCAGGAGGACTTAGCCAAACTCCAACTCTCCCTCGTGATTGCTACCTCTAATTTACTATATTTTCCCTGTATAATGACGACAATTATCATGCAGTAGTTAGCTTAAACGTGCATCGTTTGTAAGGTGCAATTTTTTTTTTTTTGGAATACACCTTTTTTTGACTAGCTATTGGAGGCTAATTTCGGGAATAAAAAATTATAGTTATTTGGAGTAGTTGGCAGAAGGATTTGTAAAATCCTAGTTAAGTTTTGTGTACATGATTGGGTAGGAGGTGGCATGTGAGAGAAAAAGAACAAGTCTTATGTGAGCTAGGAATGAATGATTGATGGATTATGGATGTAAGGTGTAGAACTAACTAGGTCAAATGCATGGAATATTTGGTTGGAATTGGATGTTCCAGTAGAACTCATGAGCTGTCAGAGCATGTCATCAAGGGCCCCATACCTTGCCTAATTCAGAACCTACATTGCATTTTTCTTGTGTACACACTCTCTATTTCTTTTTTTTTGTTTGGGTATAATTCACATTTACTTATAAATACAAGTTCCTTTTGGTTTATACTCCCTCCATCCAAAAATGTTTGACGCCATTGACTTTTTTAAAAATGTTTGGCCGTTTGTCTTATTCAAAAAATTTAAGTAATTATTAATTCTTTTCCTATCATTTGATTTATTGTTAAATATACTTTTATGTATACATATCGTTTTATACATTTCACAAAAGGTTTTTGAATAAGACGAATGGTCAAACATGTTTAAAAAAACCAACGGCGTCAAACATTTAGGAAATGATCGAGGGAGTAGTAGATTATCAATTATCGCTCGTATGCTTCTGATGCTCCTAAACGGTATGATATATCTGAAAACTTTCTTCATCGATATTTGTTAGAGAACTTTTTAAAATCAACCATTCAACTTTGTAATATTTTAACTCTTTCGTTTGTTCTCTCCAATAATTGTCATAAACTAGTGAGAATTTGATGAATTTAAGTCGGTCGGTGTAGACACGTACGTACGGTATGGTTGTCAAATGTCAATCCTATTTTCTTGTGCCTGTTCTGAAAGCAACAAGTGTCCTGACAAACTCGTCACTCTTGCATAGTTGCATTTTCTTCTTTCTCTTGGTTAAAAAAAGGTCGCATTTTATCTTGAAAATTGATAAGGATATATATTGTTATATTTTTTTTCTCTATCACAAAATATCACTTTCAGCCATGAGAGCGACGGTGCTATTTGATTGCTAATTTCTCCAGGGAAGCAGATGCAATGTCACCGATTATTTCATTGCTCATGATAGGTGACTATGGCCTACTGCAAGTATATATATACTCCCTAAAATACATGGATAATCAACACCTTTTTAGATCGAGATTCCTCTTGATGATAATCATGATCAATGAACTGAACACTACGCTGAAATGGAGTTGCCTGCATTGATGGGCCTCCCATTCTCTGAATTCTGGTGCTTATTTTTTTCAAGAACTTTCTATGATGCTTGTTAAGGAGTAGCTCTCAATGAACTGTTCCGATCTTCTCGGTGCAATGCAGTACAACTACAGTGCATGCACGGCAGCTCTCAATATTAATTTGTGCTACTGTTTAGATTTTATTCTCTGATCAAGCACCGTCAGTTCAGAAGCGATGGATACCTGCATTGGCCATCCTGGACTCCAATATTTTTCATGCAGCAGGTCATTTTCAGGCCTGCATCCTTAATGCAATACGGCTGCCATTTGACCTGCAACTACGCATTACAATGGGCTTCTGAACTGAACAGAAACTGATCAGGAATTCTCCCTGGAAATTGAGAGCACAATGCGAGTATACTATACTGCAAAATGGCCAGGAGACGTAAACGAAACAGAGACGACGTGCTGGCTTCTTTCTGTCCTTGACTAGTTTGCCAGTAACATGATTTCGTCCGGACACGGTTATACACAACAGTGTATAATGTATACTATTTTGTATTAATTAGTGGCTAATTAATTATAACTAGCAACTACATATACTATGTGCTACAGCCTACAGATTACACGTAGTAAAGATCATGTTAGTGTAGAACAGAGTGGATGAGGTGCGACCAACGACTAAGACGACGTGGCTGCAGTACATGCGTAGCTACCTAATTGACTCACCTCGCTCATAAGGAGTATACATATTTCATATTAAGGGTGTTGGGAACCCATCTCCCATACACGGAAAACGGAACGGTCCATTAACACGTGATTAATTAAGTATTAGCTATTTTTTTTTCAGAAATGGATCAATATGAATTTTTTTAACAATTTTTGTATAGAAACTTTTTGCAAAAAAACGCATCATTTAGCAGTTTGAAAAGCGTGCACGCGGAAAACGAGAGGGTAGCGTTGGAAACTTGCTCTTGCACACACACCCTTAAGGTGGTTTGGCAACAACTTATAAACAACAAGTTCTGCATCAACGCTTTGAAGAACAACCTCAGCAAGCTTCTAATCTTTCCAAATCTATTTATACCGATTTTTATTGGAATTGAACACTCAAATTAGGATCCTGCATTGATTGGTAAAAAACATCTAAATGAACCTAAGCCTTGATGAATATCCATGCTTTAAGTTTATGTGGAAAGAACTCAGAAGGGCGAAATCTCTGGACGAACCTTGCGGAGGAAACCCTGGGTTTTCGAGGCATTGGATTCTTACCGATGTTTTGTTACTCAAGCAGACATTCTCACATCCGCTTCATCGACCCTACTTTTGTGGTGGCTTCCCTCTAAGGTGGAACACTCCCCTACCTTGCAGTTGCTTCCCTCTAAGGCTTTTGTTACTCCAGCCAACATTCTCACTTCCACTTTGTCGACCCTGCTTTTGCGGTTGCTTCCTTTTAAGGCAGAACACTCACCAACCGATGTATATTGAGCTATTATGTACTCCCTCTGTTTTATATTACAAGTCGTTTGATTATTTTTTCCTAGTCAAACTTCTCCAAATTTAACCAAGTTTATAAAAAAAGATATAGTTAAATAGATATATTTAATATGAGATTTAATGAAACTAATTTAATATTTTATATATGGCTAATTTTTTTATAAACTTGGTCAAACTTAATAAAGTTTGTCTAGGAAAAAAAATCAAACGACTTATAATATGAAATGGAGAAAAATAAATATATTATCAAAATATATTTAATGTGAGATTTAATGAAACTAAATTAATATTTTATTTGTTGCTGACTTTTTTTATAAACTTGGTCAAACTTAATTAAATTTGACTAGGAAAAAAGTCAAACAACTTACCCTCCAAAACCTCGTAGCTTAGCCTAGCCGACGAGCACTTATACACACTACTCCACTTACACTTTCATTCTCGATTCTTGTAAATAAAAGGGTTAATCCGGAAGTGATATGGTTGGAGGGACAAACCCTTATAAATTAGTTCCACTCTTGCTAAACTAACGAGATGGTACTACACATGAGCACACAAAAAACATGTCCTCGTATGAAAACAAGCTTTGGTTACTCGGTCAGTTGGTGAAATGGTGAATGCTGCATTGCACAGGTTACACATTGCAGGAGCTCTACTAACATGAATTCGGTGACATACATGTACTCTACCAAATCAATACAATCAATGTGCATGTTCATACGCTCCACCAATGATGATGGATATACTGAGCCAAAACAAAAACAAAAAAGGATGGGTTGAACATTCTGTACCAAATTGCGACCAATGAGGTGGTGTATCATATCTATCAGCAACTGTAACATCTGTGTCACTCACTCACTCACTCACTAGCTATGTGATGGTCGAAGGTGATCGAAGGCGGCGGCGAGCGTGGCGGCGAAGCGGGCGACGTTGATGCGGACGTCCTGCTTGCCGAGGTAGTACTCGGCGACCTTGTCCCAGCCGCTCCGGTGAACCGCCTCCGGGTCCTTCACCACCTGGTGCTCCGGCCCCAGCATCTCCAGCAGCGTGCTCTCGTCGGCGGCGACGCTGTACTCCATGTACCGGAGCCCCATGTCCGCCACCGGCTCGCCGAAGTCCGCCCTCGCCATCCGCTCCAGCCGCCCGTACGGCACCACCTGGATCACCACCGCCCCCGCCGGCAGGAACACCGCGTTCGTCAGCCCGGCGCCGTGCACGCCCACCATCGCGTCGAACGCGTTCACCTTCCTCGCCACCTCCTCCACCGGCTCGTCGAACCGCGGCGACATCACCGCCGCCTCGAACCCCGCCGCCTCCGCCGCGCGCACCACCTCGTCCATGTTCACGATCTTCCGGTAGTGCGCGCGCCGGATCACCACCAGCCGCGGCCGCCTCGCGCCCGCCGCCGCGGCGCGGGGGAGCGCGTAGGTGTCGCGGAGGAACGCGGCGAAGTCCGCCATCGTCAGCCGCTGCCCGCCCGGCGCCAGCTCCGGCTTCACGCTGAACTCCTTGTGCATGCGGAGCCCGACGGCGACGCGGCGGAAGCACCGGACCTCCGTGTCGCGGTCGAGGTCGACGGCGTCGTACCGCGACAGCCGCCGCACGACGGCCTCGTACTTGCCCAGCCACCATGGCTGGATGTTGCTGACCAGGAACTGGACCTCGCCGCCGTACCGCCGCGACGCCACGAACAGCGGCACCAGCACGTCGCTGAAGTCGTGCCAGTAGTTGCCGGTCAGGCCGCCGAGCGCGAACACGACGCCGGGCACGCCGTGGGTCACCGTGCACGCCGGCGCGGCGGCCCGGTCCTGCTGCCGCGTCACGGTCACCTCCGCGATGCCGGACACGGTCCTGCGCGGGTACGGCTGGATCTTCCACTCGCGGCGGCGCTCCGACCGGCGGCTCGCCGGAACAAGGGTCACGGAGAGAGCCGTGCCGTTGATCCGGACGTCGCCGTCGACGTCGCAGGTGTCGGAGTAGAACCCGTTCGAGCCGCACACTACCTTGCCGTTCTCTGTTGCACCAAAAACAGAAAAAAAATTGATTCATCGAGGTTTATTAGCTCATTTATTAATTAATCAGTTAAACGATCATTAATTTGCAAACAGAGAGTAATTAGTTCAACTCATTTATTGCTCATTGATCTAATTAAGTAGAGTATTCATGTTTGGGTCCAATTGGTCTGTTTTTAGATGATCTTTCTAATGGAAAGTGAAAAGCATGGCTTTGCCTTTAATTTGACAGTAACATTACAATGCTAGTAAAACCCATGAATAGTACTAGTAAGTACAGAAGCTATTTGGAATATAGTTGGGCCCACATGTCAACGGCAGTCAAGAGTAGTATTCTGAGAACATCCATCATGTTAATGCACAAATTTGTAATTTTGTAAAGAAAACAACAAACGTTCATGCAAAATTCCAAATACTAGTACTTTCCCAAACGTCCTCCAAAGCTTATAATCCAATAAAGTCATACTCTCAACATAAATGAATGAATGCAGTTCGTTGAAAAAAAATGAATGGATGTACTATATTCACATAAATAAATAAATGAAAGCAATTATAATCAGAAACCAACAAAATGTCACTTTGATCTCTAAATAAGAACATAAAATCACTTTGTTTTTGGGAACAAATATTTTGTGCTTACCAATCGGTTTGGCATTTGTCGAGTCTCTTTTGGAGAACTCTTCTGCTGAGACGGCACCAGACGTGTCCTTTGGCCGCTGCCACTCCTGCTCCCTCTTCTTCTCTGCATTTGCCGAAAGAATTCACGTCAGAAATGAATCGGAACACCAATGTGAAAATAATACTAGCATGCAAAATTTGCAAACAAACAGAAGTAAGTAAACGTTTGTGCTTGGACTGATCGATGCAATCTGTTAGTAAAATTGGCTGATCATGATCAGTATTAACAAAGTATATCACTGTATTGATCAGAAGCTTCTTGAGGTTTCGTCTCGATCTTTTCCCAGATTTAATTGATCGTCTTCCATCCCTAAGTGTACCATGATCCGATCGAACGAAATTAAATACTCCTAGTCCCATCGGAGACACGGTTCGCTCCTCCCAACATGTTGACTTCGATCTCATCCATGATCCATCATCTCCGTTTCTTCTTCTCACGATGACTTTTGTGTTCTTAGACTGATGAAGCAGTCAAGAAAAACACGATCAAGATGACAGAAATCCTGTGCTTTCTCACCTGTTTCAACGCGAGCCTTGGTCACCGACTCATTCTCGTCAATCCTCGGCGCCCTGCTAGTGACAGCTGCAGGAGAAACATTCAGCAAGAAGCAAGAACAGATCAGTTCATGGACAAAATGATGATGACCGACGACGACAACAACAGAACAGAATGATCTTTGTGCAAAGAAAGAAGCTTCTTGCAATGGAAGAGTACGTGATGATGGTTAGGTTACCTGTGGGAGTTTCCATGGCGAACTGCTGCGAGACGATGACGTAGGTGAGGAGGACGAGGAGGAAGCCGGCGAAGAAGCCGGCGTTGAGGTGTCGCCGGAGGCCAAGCTTCGCCGGCTTCACCTCGCTGCCCATCTCTCCTCTCTATCTATCTCTGTCTCCTCTACTATTCACTCGTGCTAGTGTATATATATTCTGAACCCAACTCTGAATCTCTCTGAAGAAGGATTGAATTGTTCAAGGTTTTGGGTCGTTCGAGAATTGCACCGAGCTGCCTCCTTTTCCTCTCTTTTCTTGCTTGTTTACATGGAGCATGAAGAAAACTATGCAAAAAGAAAGCGAGAGAAAGAGAGAGAAATGGAGTGGTGTACTTGGATTTCTCCAAGCTTAGCCAGCTCGCTTTTGTAGAGTTTGCATATCAGCATCAACTTGCTGTTTTGTTAAGCATACTAATCCATCCATCAGATTCTGATTTTGCAGTTACACCCCCCTTCACATGGTACGAAATTCCTTTTTTTTTTTTGCTCGTGTTGGGTGCAGATCAGGGTGGACTAGCATGTTAAACTAGTGTTAGTAACACTAATCAACTAATTATCTATAGTAATTAAGTAATTATTAAGTGTGCAAATGGTGGTTGACCAGTGACTCTCTCTGAGAGTTCTGATTGGGCCTGATAATCAGAAGACAGCAGGCTGGCATTATTTCATTAACTGAATGAAACAGGGTGAATTTATTTAACCTTTTTATTTTGTTTTTCGCCTAATCTGACGCCGATGGATCGAGTTCGTTCACATGCACGTTGTTTGGTCCGCGTAACATCCCCTTTGATTAACAAGCCCCAAAAGGTATCACAGTTTTTTTAAGGACTGGCTGCTAATCAAGGCTCAATGTGGAACTGATGTTTTTCAGATATGCATTATAGAATGTGTACAATTAAAATTTTAAAATTTCAAAGATAATGCAAATATTAATATCTGTCACATATAGCCACTTCATGATGTATTCTGATGTGGAGCTCTTAATTTCCACAAGTTAAATACAATTAAAAACAGTCATGAGCCTTGCTAGCATCCAGCTAAGAACACATGAACACCCAAGTCTACTAGCTAGCTTACCCATAAGCAAGCCATATGCGTGTTGCCGTTTTGAACAAGACGTGGTATCACAATCAAGTCGATTTCGTGTCAGGTTGTCCTCATCAGGGCAAACAGACCAAGTTCTTCATCGATTTGTACAGATCATGCACGCATGCAATGGTTTCTTCAATTCATCTTTTAGATCAACCACCCAACACCCGGTCGATCTATTTAATTAGCTATACATTTCTAGAATCATTAACTTCTAACGTGAACACCTCTCACAAGGCATGTTCTCCCCCCATGTCTAATCATTTCTTCATATAGCTCCAACCAACATGGTGGCAACTATCTTGATCATCATTGTTGCAAACAAAGTCTGATCAGCTTTTTGGAAACCATGTGTATACTGTATTACCTAGAAGAAAGCGATTGTAATCGAAAAAAATAAAAATAGGGGGGGGGGGGGGGGTGTGTCATTTCTGCATTTGACTCTGATATATTTATATCTGAGTGTACTGTCTGAAAAGTAACAGAAATTCAGAAAGAGGCAAATTATAAGCTGCAGATTATTATTTTGTGTCTCTCTTCCTGCATTCTCCATAAGGTGATAATTAAGGGTTTGAATGTGATTTCAACAATGCAAGGTGCATTTCTGCAGAAGCACATCACATCCTAATCCTCAAGTGATCAGTTTCAGACTTCAGTACAGTACATGCATCCCATGATTGCATGATTGTGAGCGCATCCAATCTGTAGTTTATTGGTTAATCATCTCTGTAGGCCTGGGTGGTAGCTAGCCCATGGATCCAACTGTTCAAGTTTAAACACATCTGGAGACTACTAGCTAGGGACCAGTTCCTTAATTGCAATCAGTAAAATAATTAATCCTAATTGAGTTTCCTTTTTATTACTGCTTGGATGGAATCATGGCACGTATAGTGGCAGTACTGCAGCAGTAGAATATTATGGTCACTGAGTGGTCAACACCACCGGCAGAAGCTCGGCTTTAACATTGACCATTTTTAGTTTCTTCTCACCCTAGCAATGTTGTTACTCTCTCATGTTTCCTAATTAATTATACTATCAGGCTGCAGCATTGTTGGCGATGGAATTGCATCCTTCTGATCTGTTTTGTCTGGATGCATGGCTCACGTGAGAGTTCAGAGTTCCTCATTTTATTTTGGATGGCAGAGGTATAAATAAGTTGTGTTAAAACACCGATGGCATTCTGTCTGCCAAAGAAAAGTAAACAAGATTTGTCAGTTAAATGTACAGTAAACAGACTTGTTTTATCTCCATAAAAGTACTCATGATGATCTCAAATTCACAAGTGCTGCTGAATCACACTTGATTTTCTTAATTTTGGTATGTGTACAAAAAAAATACAGTACAGTTTGGTCTCTTTTTTTTTTTTGACATAAGAAGGTAGAGCCAGCTTTACCTTATAGCCATTTCATTGATATAAATGGACGGTTACAAAGTTACATGACGAGTAGAAAAAAGAGAGGGAGAGAAAAAAGGAAAAGGAGAAAGAATTTGGTCTTGTTGATATCTAGCTCGTGATCTGTTTTTTTTTTTCGGGAATACACAATAAACACATCTTTGTATTAAGAGAAGTAAAGTTTATTTACAGTGTAGCCTTTAAATGGAAAAAAGGGGAAGGGGACAGGGTACAGGATCGGACCTAGAGAACTAAGGCCTAATCTCCCACTAGATTTTGCGACCGCCAAGCCATGCTAGGCAGAGGTAGTTCAGGCACTGTGAGATGTAGCTCGTGATCTGTGAGATGGCAAAGAAGACTCACACGTTGCTAGCTAGAGTAGCTTGGGGACTTGTGGTAGCTAAATGCTAGTACTCCAGCGAGCCAATCTAGTGACTAATATCAGAGTTCAGACTAAAGACAAAGGTACAAAGCTCATGGGGTTATTGGTTAAGAGTAGTAGTATAAGCAAATTTGTGAAACGAAGTCGAGATCCGAGCCGCAGTGGAGCACCTGATTCAGATGTACATTACTTGAAAAAGAAAAAATGCAGTCATGAACGGTCTCTGGATGCTGTGACCGATCCAGATTGGAGTTAACTTACTGCAACTTGCAATATGGAGCAGTAGTAATTAAAGGTTAGCCCTGAAGAGAGTCAACTCCACTCAGTAATAAATTGTTGGTAATTGGAAGCTACTGCTAATTAGCTTCTTCTGTGCAAAGGCCATATGGATCGGCTTGTGAGTTGTGACATGGACAGAAAGAGAAAAAGAGCACATAGGTACCAACTTGGAACACCTGAGTAACTGGGCTGAGCATAGAGCTGAGTCGTTGACCAATGCATGGATCTCATCTTGTTTTCCAAATACTAGTAGGTAGTGCAAACTCCACTGGCGACAGGATTAGGACATGCTGGGTGAACAGTTTGGCAGCCTAATTATGAAATGAATGGGGACTGACTGCAATTTACTCTCTTAGATTAGTCAGTGCGGAGATGGAGAGAAACTCAGAAAAGGAAGCCCATGAGTGAAAACTAAAAAAGTGAGAAGTTAGAATTACTAGTATAGCTTTATTTCCTTATTTTTAGATGTTAGTGAATTTCTATACTGCCGCATACTACTGTACTGGTATATCTGAATTTCTGAAGACCGGTATACGAACGTAACGAACCTCTGAACTTCCAAGTTGGACGGAGCACCTGAATACGGAGACTGGATGGGCCCAGTCTAGATCGTATTCAGTGTTGGAACCCAGTAGCTTACATGGGCCGGACTGGATCTATAACGAGCAGGGCAATTGCGTTGGACGGATCGGGCCACTAGAACGAGACCTTATTACTGTGGGCTGAATATGATTGTTTGCGTGTGATCCATATAATTGCTGGGCCTTATCTCTTAAATAAGAAAAAAAAGAGAAAAACCTATGGTGGGCCTAATACCTAGATGCAGCCCATTTAGGAATGGCCAGTCCCGTCCGTACTAGTTCAGCACGTTTGAGAATTGAACAGATAGAAAAAAGAACATCGTTTTTCATGCGCACGATTCTTGATTTTTTCATAAAAAAAAGTCTATAGAGAAGTTGCTTTAAAAATCATATATTAATCTATTTTTTTAGGTTTAAATAATTAATACTTAATTAGTTATGTATTAATAGTTTATCTCGTTTAATGTTTGTTCTCAATCATCCCTATTCTTCTTTTCTCAAACACAGAGGACGTAGGAGTGAGTATTCCAGGTACGCCGCTGTAGGCGGCACGGCAGGCAGCGTCACCACCTGCACCATTGTTTTTCAAGTACTCCCCACAAAAATAAAGATTAAATACGGACATGTAAAAGAATTATGATTATTTAAGTTTTAATTATTTTAAATATAGTTATCTAATATTTTAAAGCAACTTTTATGTTGAAAGTTCTTATTGTTTAGCAATTTGAAATATGTGTTAATGACAACTGAGATAAAATATGTATCTTCATAAAAAAACGAACATAACCTCAAGCAATACGTAGCAAAATAAGTTTGTCTTAGTTTACTACTATATAGTGCTCCCTCTATCCCAAATTGTAGAACGTCTTTTTTTAAAAAAAATCAAACTTGGTAACTTTTGACTAATAATATGGTGCTAATTTTATATTAGTTAGGAATATAATATATAATAAATTATTGGTCAAAATATGTCATTGAAAACCTTTAAAAAATATAGTTTTATAATTTGAGACGAAGTACTGCTTTTGTTCTTAGCTTTTTCGATCTTGAGATGAAAATTACACAAGCTGACCAACTCCACCAAAGCCTCCTAGGACGCGAGCCGGTTGACCCGATCAAATTCGTGGCGTGATTTGCTCCCATTCTCGCGCCGCGCAACATGGATGCAACCCATCAACTTTCAAGACGTGCGTGCAGCAACGTCATCAATTTTAGCGTTTAGTTTGGCAGTTACAATGCCGACCGCCCGTTTATTAATTTCTTCTTCCACCTCCGATCCTCCCCGCTGAATGATACGGATCCATCAAAACGGACAAACCGACGCACCCGACCTACTCCCTCCATTCTAAAGAAACTCCTTCTAATACAATAAATCTGGACGAAATGCATTTATCATCCATTGTGCATGCATCAAATAAAAAAAACCAAGATTTGGAGGAAGAGACATTCCTCCAAACATTTTCGAAGAATAAATTGTGAGCGCGTTGGAGATTGAACACGGAATCTTGGGGTTAAAACTACACGTCTCTTAATGCAGCACTGTCAAGAGCAACAAATCAAAATGATTAACGAACCTCCTCATATGTTGCTGTTTGGCATAGTAATACGCGATTGTTGGAGAGGAACAAAAATTTCCACGCGGCCAAGACTGTTGTGCTCATATCTGACCCTGATAAGCTACCAAACTCGATCTTGACAGGCCGACATACTACTATACTAGTGTGTTTATGTCTGTGATGATCAGCCACTACAAAGTCAGACAGCCATGGACACACACAAACACAAGCATTGGTCAGAGTTTGGTATCCAAGAGGATCAATTCTACCAAGAAACCAAGCTGCATGTTCCTCGGGTCTGACAATCAAAATGCACCAGTCTACAAACAAAATTCGGTAGCGTTCGGCAATGCAAAAAACTCATCTCAATCACCAATCCTTCTTCTTATTATTATTCTTCTTTTAGAGTTTGTAGCATGCATGAATCATGGCCTAGTTTAACTGGGTCAAACCGCGGCCTAACTTCACTCAACATTTGCATAATTGTGCAGGTTTATTCCAAGCAGCTTCTGCGGCTTCAATTCACACACATGACTTGCAGGGTTGGTTGGTTCGGATCCTGACTTTCTACAACTACAGTGTTCCACAGTGATGGGGATGGACCAGCCCAACCCCAACACAAAACCGAACCGACACTCGATTCAATTCACACACATGGCAGATATATGGTGATCAACAATTGGAAGCAAAGAACAACAAGCTAATGCTCCTAAGAGCAGGTACAGTAGCAGGCTATAAGCCAGGTGCAAACATATTTTAAGTAGATAAATCAGGAGAGAGAAGAGCAGCGGGCTACAGATTTGTAGCCAGCTATAGCACGGACTCCAAGACGCAGTGTGTCTATGACAGGTGGGGCTAGGTATTAATAGTGTAGTATGTAACTATTGTATGAATAAGCTATTAGATTGGCTATAGATGAATTGGAGCTAGTAGTTGGCTATACTATTAAACTTGCTCTAAGAAGGAAGAATCTGGATGGAAAGGCTGGAAAGCAGACGGTCCATGCTACTCTGCCTGATTGCCATTGCCTGCCTCTCTCTTCTCAATTCTCATCGCTTTGCAGCTCCAGTCCGTCCACAGATTAACTTTCCAAGTAGTATCAACCTTTTACTATATTTTACTGGTCATCACACTCACTGATCACTACTCACAATGCTAGCTATAGATTCCTTGATTGATGGCCCCATGATCCCTTTCAACTATTTTCTAGCCTTTCTTTTGCCTGCCACCTCACTCTCTTCCTCTACATGGCTCCAGCCTGCCAAATGCTGTTCAGTTTAACTCTTGCACATGGAACCTCAAGATTGTCATGCTACTAGGTTATAAGCCAGCACAAAATTAAAAGTTATCAACCACCTTGTTACGAGTAGTAAATTGGGAGTATCTGACACGCAAACAGATTATGCACATTTGGCTGTTTGTCCATGTGTAGGTATCTTGCAACAAAGGAAGATCGTTTATGAAAGCATGGATGCTTAAACTATTTTTACAGTCGTCGACAAAGAGCAGATTCCCTGCAGATCGACAGACACGTAGTTTGCGAGATATACTTGTTAATGCAGTGATTATCTCAGTGAGATCAAAAACTCCATACACATGGTACTGATCCTACTCTATGTACTCATCGCACACAGATTGAAATTGGCTTGTACTGGGAGGAACACATCATCACTCTTCCTATGAAATTGTCGGTGACAAATCTCCGATTATTGATCAAAAAACCAATCAGTGAATGAATGAATGACTGACTGAATATGACGGTAGCAATTGCTAGCTCGATATATCACCATCAGCTGGGCCCCAAATCGCACATGTTGAAAATGGCCGGATGATTACTGATTCGAGGACCTGTCTGACTATCTTGTTTACCAGTATTACTCATGCAACAGCCTGACAGAGAGTGACAGTCTCAAGTGATCATGCAGTAGTAGTAGCACTGATACTGTATAGTATTAGCAACAAAGGTGTATACATATACTACTATTCAAAATCGATCGATTCAACACCAATCGATTTCGTATGCTTGATCAAATGAATGAAATAATTGGTGGTCCAAAGCTAGCACGCAGACATAGCGTGAGATCATATCGATCCCCATTACACGGGCCATACCATATGGTCCTTAGCCTGTACTAACAATTAGTACTACTCCAGTGTACCAGTACAATACTGTAATGGTATAGCGATATTGCTAGTACTAGATAGTAGTATCAGTCATCTTACAATTTCTTGCTATTGCTATTGCTTCACCAACCATTTGGTCGTCTGCTCCTGAACACTAGTACATTAGGTGCTTAGTACTAATTGCTACTATGATCTGATTAGCAAAAACCAGTACATTCGTTATGGTTATCATCAGTAGTACTAACTGCAATCTTCAATTCGTACTTTGGAGGTTTAAGACCATTAATTATTGAGTGATCTGTAATCTTTTTTTTTCAGATGCATTTTGCAGGTCCATTAGTACGTCTTACTCTGATTTTTTTTTTTTGGCAATTTGGAACTCGAGGACTAGCTCAGCAGCAACGTGCAAGCTGCAACTGTGTTGGAGCTCACGTTCCTGGTCCATGGAGATGGAGGCCACCGACGATTCATACCTTCACCGTTGCTTCATTGTTTGCACGATCTCACATGCCTTTCTCAGGTTTATTTTATACAATTTTTCCCAGCAGAAACCTAGCTTGGCAGGAGCATGTGCTTGGTTAAATTTTAGTTAAGAATGCATGCATTAAGCATGCTGATTGCTGGACTAGTCCTCACTGAACAGTGAACCCTGCTCCATAGATTCATCCCATTGATTGATTTTTAATTACTATAGCAGCAGTAGCAAGTGGCAAGATGGTAAACCTGACATGTTTACATGGAGCAGTTCACCAATCCATGCAATAGAAATGCGAGCTTAAAGAAACTTTATTGTGGAGTACAAAGTTTTTTTTTTATTAGAGGATGAACAACCATAATTGACCATCCAAGACCAGTTATGAAGTTACTGTAGTGTTGTCCTTGCTTAATTGTCCGAGCAGCTAATTACATTTCGATAGAATGAGCCATCTGAATTACAGTAGGAGTGTACAACTATCTATGTACATATGTCCTTGATTCTCGTATACCATATCATCATGTAATTTATTAATAAAGTATCTTTTTTGACCGTACATAAATAATTCTATGCTGTACTATAAAAGAAAAAAAGAAGCAAAGAACAGTTGTTACATTATGAGATCTGGGGAAACAAACCATAATCTAATTAAGCCTCGTACACTTTTTTGGGTTTTGGCTACTATAGGAGTATACATGATCAACTCAACTACCACTCATGAAACTCATCTTCCAATCGAGATAAAAAAAAAACAAAGAGATGAATATAGTATTGCTGCTGATCTCCTCCTCTGAAATATCATACATTTGGTCGATCTGCTAGCTGCTACAGTCTACTTTTACTTACTAGTGAAAAGATAGTAAAAGAAGAAGAAAAGATTAAAAGATCAAGAAGATGGTGTACATTGATGCATCCATGGCGATCGATCGAAGAAAAATTCGAAATGGCTAGTTGTGTGTGGTGTTATTGTTGCCGCTGTTCTTGCGGAGGTGAGCAATGGCCTTCTTGAGGATTGGTCGGAACCTCTTCATGTCGAGACGAACATCCTGCTTGTCGAGGTAGGCTTCCTTGAGAGAATTCCAGCCTTTGGACTTGACGCCATCGGGGTCGGTGAAGATGGGGTGGTCTCGCGGGTACTGATCGATCAGCGTGCTCTCCTCCGGCGTGATCCGGTACTCCAGGTACCGGAGCCCCATGTCCCTGGACGGCCCGCGGAAGTAGCCGGCGACGAACTCCAGCCCGCCCAGCGGCACCACCTGGATCACCACGCCGCCGGTGGGGAGGAACACCATGTTCGTCAGCCCCGCGCCGTGCACGCCCACCATGGCGTCGCACGTGTTGGCGAGCTCCGCGAACGGCGCCACCTCGTGCTCGCCCTCCGACACCACCACCTCGAACCCGGCGCGCTCCGCGCCTCGCACGATCTCGTCGGCGTTCACGAACCGCCGCGTGCGGGCGCGCGCGATCACCAGGAGACGCGGCCGCCATGGCCGCCGCGGCTGCTGCTCGCCGGACGCCGGGAACGGCGCGTCGCGGGGCAGGCGGTAGGTGGCGCGCATGAAGCGGGTGAAGTCCACCATGGAGTAGCCGTTGGGCGCGCGCGACGGGTCGATGCTGAAGTCGGCGTGGCATGTCAGGCCGACCTGGACGTGGCGGAAGCAGTGGACGCGGCGGTCGTCGTCGAGGTTGATGAGGTCGTAGTTGGAGACGGCCTTGAACACCGGCAAGAACTTGCCGAGCCACCACATCTGGAAGTCGGACACCAGCAGCTTCACCTCGCCGGAGTACTGCCTCGCCGTCAGGAACAGCGGCAGGATGACGTCGGTGTACGCGTGGAAGTAGTTGCCGGTGTACCCGCGGTCGGAGAACACAAGCCCGGGGACGTCGTGCCGCTCCGTGCACGCCGGCGCCGCCGCGCTCGCCGCCGGGGCGGGCAGCGACTGCACCGTCAGCACGCGGACGTGGCGCATGGCGTTCGGGTCGGCCTTGCGCGGGTACGGCTTGATGTGCCACGACTCGGCGCGGAACGTGCGCTCGTCGGCGGGCCCCGGCGGCGCCACCAGGGAGACGGTGCCGTTGGCGCCGGCGACGCGGACGTCGCCGTCGAGCTCGCACCAGTCGATGCGGCGGTTCGACCAGAGATCGCACAGCGGCTTCCACTCCTTCCGCCGCGGCGCCGCCTCTGAATCTTGGGAGGACCATCAATCAATCAAACCACGTTGCATGTTAATTATGACCCAGAAATGCAGCAAGAAAGATTGTAGATTCGCAACCAAATTAAGAACACAAAAAACAATGTTGTTGTAGACCCTACGAGATGAGAAATGGTGAGATGATAATCAAATGAAAGACACTAGAAAATGGGGGCTATCAATAAGCTAAGGCCATGGGATGATGATGCTTTATTACTCTTAAATTGCTCTCCTCTCAAGAAAGGTGAACAAGGCACAGGATGAAAACAAAAAAAGGTGGTCCAGAACAGAACAGCAAGAAGAACGTTGGGCCTTGCGTTGGGATAGGCAAGACATCAAAAATGTGTGTCCAAAAACTAGTCTCCACAATCCACATTTTGCAACTACTCCATGTACATGCCTTTGCTACTTGCAACGAGAATTTGTGCTCAAAATCTCAAATGTGTTCTACTGTAGGTTTCAAATGTGTAGCTAAAAAGACCAGCAGTATGCCAGTAGTACTTGGCATTTTCGCAAATAAAAAAGGCATCTTTTTTTAGCACAAGGAAAACACAAGGAAAAGTAAGGAGGAACTAGATACCTGTCTTAACCACTGGAAATGTTGGAATCTGCTGAACAGGAGGAACTTTGGCCTCTGGAACAGCTGGAATTTGCTGAGCAGGAGGATCCTTTGCCTCTTGAGTAGGAGGAATCTGCTGAACAGGGAGAGTAGCAGGGTCGGATGGAACCACAGAGGGGGAGCTGCCATTGTTGCTGCTCTTCTCCGGAGAAGGATTAGTAGTAGCAGGAGCAGTCTCCTGGACTTTCAGCTCCTCATCCTCAAGAACTGACCAAGAAGAAGAAGAACAAAAAAACAGCTTGTTAAAAATCCTGCATTTCCCATTTCTGACAGAAATGAAGAGGGGGGAAAACATCTCATCCTGGTTACTTCAGAGAAGTTCAATTGGTTGTGTTTTTTTTTTTTTTACCTGAATCCTGTGTGATGTTTGTGGGTTCCTCTGATGACAAGGGAGGAAGAACAGCACCGACAATTGCGTCATCATCCTTGGCAAGAGCCTCATCTGTGGAAGCAGACACGCTTGCATCACCGCTATCCTTAGCAAAAGTCTCATCTTTCTTCTTCCCCTCCAACGCTGATGCATTGTGGCCCAAATCTAAAGGGGAAAAGAACGAAAGAAAGAAAACAAATCTTTTTCAGATTGTCTGAACTTTGCGTGTGAGCCAGTAGAAGTACCAAAGCAACACACCAAATTCGAATTCGATCCATGCGCAAGCAAAATGATCTGCAAATGATTGCGAGTTGGAGTTGTTTACCTGGCCCCAAAGAGGAAATCTTGTCGTCGCCGTCTGTGTCGAGCACCTGAGCCTTGCTCCCTTCCCTGGACATTGCATCTCGGTCCAAATCTAAGCAGGGAGGAGAGATGAACAAGAGACAGTTCGTCAACTCCTCGATTAGTACAGCGAGTGAACCTGTCGGGACGAATGAATCGCCGCTTGCTCACCTAGCTGCTGCTGATTGGAGCCGTCAGAAGAAGCGTTCATAAACCCAGCTGCATTCTTGGCTGGAGAGCTTACTGCAAGAATCCATGGCGACAAGAGTGAGATACACAGGTAGGCATGGAGATGCGTGAGGAGGAGGAGGAGGAGATGGGCGGGCGTACTCATGGCGATGTGGATGGCGTCGAACTTGGCGGTGGAGAAGTAGGCGCAGGTGACGATGAGGAACCCGGCGACGAGGCCGAGGCCGAACCGGCGGGGCTCCACCCGGCTGAGGTTCTTGAGCAGCTTGGCGTCCTGGTGGTGGTGGTGGCCGCCATAGCTGTACCCCGCCTTGCCACCGCCCTCCATGGCCGCCGCCGCCACCGCTCTCGACCTCTCTTGGCAAACAGCACGGCACACTCTCTCTATATAGTAAAACTAGAGCTCATGTGTGTGAGCGTGAGAGTGCAGCGGTGAAGGATTAACTCACCGGAGCTTAAGTAGAGTAGATAATTGGAGTGCTCGTGAGCTTGCTTGCTTGGGCTTGGCGGTGATGGCTGAGGTGGGGGGAGCTAGGAGGGTGTCAGCATGTGAGTGTGAAGAAGAGAAACAGAGGAGGAGGTCGTGGAGGCCACCTCCATTTATTATTTCTCCTTAACTCGTGGCTTTCTGTTCTTTTCCGTTTTTTTTCTCCTCTCCTTTTCTTTTTTTTCTTTTCTTCTCGTCATCTTGTTTTCTGGCCTACTCCCTCCGTCCAAAAAAAAAAAGACAAACCCTGGGTTTCCGTGTCCAACTTTGACTGTCCGTCTTATATGAATTTTTTTTATAATTTGTATTTTTATTGTTGTTAGATGATAAAACATGATTAATATTTTATGCATGACTTGTCTTTTTAATTTTTTTTATAATTTTTTCAAATAAGACGGACGGTCAAACGTTAGACACAGAAAGGATTTGTCTTTTTTTTTTACAGAGGGAGCAAGTACTTCCGTTTTTTCAGTGTGTAAAGGATGGAGAAGGCTGACTTTTTTTTTTTTGTAGTGAACGAAACCGTTTCATCTCGCCGGCACACGCTTCCAAAACCTCTAATATAGAGTAGCAATTAAAGATGAAATTAGCCCTAATTTAGTAAGTACGAATCAGCCTGTTATTTGACCTAACCTAATGATATGAATTTGGACAAGTTAATACGTAGTAATCTGGATAGGTAATCAATCTCATCCTAGATAATTACCTGCCTAGTTTGTGATAGTGTTATCCCATCCTTAATTGCTACTACAATTCTGGGATAGATGAAGTATGTCTTAATTCTTGTAGAAACTTTATATATAATATTGATTTCTCATAAAATTATTTTAAATCTATTATTAACTTTATATTATTTAATTAATGTATTTGTACCATCAACTATTTATTACAGGCCATATATTCAGCTATTCATCCATTTAGAGAGAAAAAAATAACGCATATAAATAGTAAGGGCCCCTTTGAATTGCAGGATTGAGAAAACGTAGGATTTTGATAGAAATGTAAGTGTAAAATAGATGATTGTAAAACGTAGAAAAAACATAGGAATGACCATTTGATTGAACCGTAGGAAAAACACAGGAATTAGATGAGAGAGATAGACTCAAAGAAAATTTAGTAAGAGGTTGAAGCTATTCAGACCATATATTCAACTATTACAGACCATATATTCAGCTATTCATCCATTCAGAGAAAAAAAAAAGAACACACAATAGTATAAATCAATAATGTACTGACGAAGTAATATGAAGTAGGGGATGCAGCGCGCAACTTGTGGCTCTGACTGGATGCATAGTTTCTGCACGGCGTGATTGATTGGCAATTGGCACCGACGAGAGCATAGCAGCCGGATCTCACACGCACAGTCAAGATCTGCAACTCTGAGCTTCTGATGAAGTTCTGAACTGATGAATTAAGATTATAACAGGGGAATCTCTCTGCTAACTAGTACTGTAGTTCCCATCTAATGGCCTGGTTGATCTCTCTATTAGGAGTATCTGAGGATGATGCTAGTACCATCTTTCCAGTGATGAGTGATTGAATGATTGGTTAGTACACATACGCGCCCATCTGATCTGATACGGCCAGCAGAATCTGCTTCTGTACTGAAATGCTGCTGGTACTGGTTACAGATTGATTACAGATAATTGTCAGTGTATTGCCTCCCATAGATGACTATAGTAAATTGCAGCTAATCGTGTGACTCATCGGTTTCACTGAAAAAGCTCATAGGAAACTGGCTGTCTGAAAGGCAATGATCAGTTAGTTAACACATGCGTGTTGCATTAGTCTTTGTTGGGCTGATCCATCCATCCACAGATTACGGCGGCTGAAGATGCTAAAGGAAGGAGAGGCTGCCTCCAAAGCTGCTGCTTCCTTCCGTGCTTTCTGTGTCCGTTTCCACATGGGTCCAACTCCAACGTAAGGGACCAGATGGATCAGTCAGAGGCAGCACCACACACAAAAGGAAGCCCATATCTTGTGTTCTTCATCGTCTTGCACCTCACTCAACATCGCCCAGTGAATTCAGTATTTGAGTGATACGATAATAGCTGAATTACATGCAGATTTTACAAAGTTGTGAGCAAAATTCAGTTGTAACAAGTCTGAAATATTCTTCTATCTTTGTGATGCAGTTTGTTGTTTGGTCCAAATTCGTAGGAGATCGCTTCTGAATCTCAGAATCTGCATTGGTGTTCTCCTTTCGTGGTTAGCAGTTGCTGTCTTATCAACATTTCCTTGCTTTGCGATGTGGTCATCAAAACTATTCTAGGAAGGAGTTGATGCATGGTTCTGCACCCCGTGAAGTCATCACTGTCCACTAACCGTTCGTTCGGTTCTTTGTTTTCAGAAGCAACTTGTCCGAATTCAGTCTGTAAAATTTTCACAAGCAGTTTGTCTGAATTCAGTATGTGCAACTTCCCTACAACCAATGGGCACCTACCTACCCCTGTCAACACTGGCAAAGTGCTCAACCAGCTCACTAGTAGATTAATCCAATTACATACAGTTACAGTAGTCGTTTTGCTTGCAGATTTACTCAACAGCTAGCTTTCCTGGATAATTAAAAACTTGATGTGTCAGGAGATGACAAGCAGCAACAAGAACAAAGAGGTATAATACTGCACAGTACTGTATACTACTGGTACTCATACTAGTATCATACAGTGCCATTCTTGGTATTCAGGCTTGGTGAATCAGAGAAAAACAATGGAATCAAATCAGACTAGCTAGGAGAAGATGATTGTGTCACTAGATATGGTAAGTAAGTACAATAGACAAGAACAATAAATGCTGCAAATCGTAGCGATTCAGGAAGTGGTTGCTACGTCCATTCATGAATGATCCGGTCGCACTTGCACATCGCCAACATGTTGAATCGAATGGCATCTTGCTTGACACTTCCCTTTCGTTGATCTCTGAAGGACTGAAACAAGCTTGTATTAAGGGCCCAATGCATAAACAATCGAGGCTTAGTCACTAATCAAATCATGGCGAGAAAAACACATTCGCGGCGTGCCAAAACCACACCAACGACGAAAATGAAGGAATTGGGGCCAACAGCTATGCCTGAACTATGCATGGCTGCTGGCTGGTTTATCGGGCACAAGAGAACAAGTGTTTTTTTATCTTAATAGGAAGAAAACAAGAACAAGTGTTAGGTTGGTGCAAGAAGAAGAAAAAGAAAAAAAGGTTCAGAACTTTAGGCTGTTCAAATGTAACGACATCTTCAATACAGTACACGGCCTAATAACGGAATCTAATGAGGTTGATTTGTTTGTTGTGATCCAATCGGCATCAGCATTTACATGAGGTTAGGTACAATAAGCGCTAACTTGTTCAGTTTAAAAAAATGAGCGCTATTTGGTTGGAATGTCTCATAAATACAAAACCTCCTGCTAGGCTGCTACAATATAACTGACCTGCAATCTGAAGTTTCTGTGCTCAAAATGTACAATAAGAGGCTAGGAACTTGGGCAGATTAGTCATGTAAATCTCTTGGATGATTGGAATTTAGAAATTATATATAGCGGCATGGTACAACAGACATACTACAGGAGAGGAGTGCCATGTAGTGGTAGTGGTACTGTCGGCAGAGGCAGCAGCCATACATACAGCACAGAGAGTGGCTAGCAAGTGGTGAGTGGGGCCACTTGTCAGAGAGAGCATAATTTGCGTCGAAATGGCGCCTAACCCTGCCTAAATTCGCCAGTGGATGGACCATCTCGTTCTCGTTCACGTTCAGTCAGACAACCTACGAACAAGATGCATCTACTGGAAATTGGTAACGAGGTGAATTGGGTTTGGGCTTTTCTTTCACCGCACTTATCTGGGCTGGCCGGGATGCTATCACATTTTTTTAGGAACAGTTCCTTCCTCTAAGAATAGAAGTTCAGAGAGATTCCTATAAAATCTTAAATTCATCGGCTCAGACTTCAGAAGTTCAGAGCTACACACTGAATCTGTTATACCATAACTACCGGTTACCATTCAGTTTAATTGCTATTAGAATAAGATCTTCTAGTTAACCTAAACACATTTAACCTTACATCTCACAGGAGAGGTAAGCAAAACAAAGCGACACATGATAAACAGCTAGTGTTAACCACACATGATAAATTTACAGTACAGGATTCAGTCCTCCAACTGCTGCTCATCCTTGGCGCTTGCTTCTCCTCTCTTCACAAAAAACAAAACAAAAGATGTAGTCTGTCAAACATTGTGATTTAAAACTGATCTCAGTGTTGTATATCTAGGACAAAGCTAGAATTAATCATATTGTTTGAATAACACTTTTAATAACATGATGTAACGAACAATATTGTCCATGGATCAATAAATCTAAATCGAAGTACTAGTATATAACATTACAGTTAAGATAAAACTAGTAAAGTTATACCGTGTGGTCCTGTAGGTATGAGCTGAAGTCAGTAGCAATGAGATAGGGTGTAAGCCACCGCAATTCGCCGTGTTGAGATATCTTCGTGAAAGACAGGACCTTGTTCTGCAGAATGTCAAAGCGGATCATATAATTGGCTTTGGCCACCAGTCGATCCCCAAGAACTTGGCCGAATTCATTAACGTGATCAGGTATTGGCTCCTGAAAGATATCATTCAGAACGGCATACATGATCCCATCTTCGTTCACGCTAAGAATAGGAATCGGCATAACATGTGGCAACCCAATCTCGTTGAAGCTCTCGCTCGCCCAGCTGTCTCCGACAGTCAATGTCGTTTCCTCCTTCCAGTGCTTGAAATCTGGGGAGAGTGACCATGTCTTGAGCTTCACCTCGTTGGCGGGACAAGAAGCTTCTTCGCAGTAGCCGATCAAGGCGACGAACTTGATGGCACCAGAGACGCAGCCGATGGAACGGTGCTCATTCGGGCTGAAGCAATGGCGGGGTTTGCCGTGGACGTCGCGGCAGTGGGGCAGCGGGACGAACACTAGCTCGGGGCCTTCCGGCGACGAGACGTGGTCGCAAATCAAGATGCCCTTGAGGAGATCAACCCAGAAGATGCTGCCTTGGAAGGAGAAGGCCGTGTCGACGTGGAAGAAGTAGGTCGGGCCACAGAGATGTGGAGGGAGAGGGAGACGAACCGGCGGCGTCTCGGCCCACTCCGACGACGACGAGCACACGAAGAGCTTCGCGTCGGGGAGCCCTGTGGTGGAGGAGGTGACAATGTCGGCGAGGATGTAATCATCATCATCATCGCCGGCGGTGACGACGACGGCGGTGCGGCCGAGGGGAAGGAAGGTGGGAGAGCATAGGGAATCGGGGAGTGGGGGGATAGCGGTGAGGTGGTTGTTGGAGGCGTCGTAGAGGAGGTAGTATCGATGGGCGTAGATGACGACGATGCCATTGTGGATGCTGGAGATCTCGCCGATCCCAGCCAGATGCGAGTACTCCGGCGGCAGCAGCATCTGCAGGCTGCTTACTTGAGGTGGGTCGGCGAGGAAGGGGACGGGTTTCATGGCCGGCGCCATCCGCCACTCCATCTCCTCCACCATCTGCACTCTACTCCAACTCCACCCACCGATGGTTAACTCTTTCCCTTCGACGAAAAGCACTATGCGATCGAGCAACACGCAAGGAGGCCTCGGGTTCGCCATGAGATTGTTGCTTGACCTAGCTTGACGCGCGGCTAGGGTTTGCTTTGCTTGAACAACAAAGAGAAGGAAGGAATTGGGGAATTGAATTAAGGGGCTCTCTCTCTCTCTCTCTCTATATATATATATATATATATATATATATATATATATATATATATATCTGTGTGTGTGTATGTGTATATATATATATACATATATATATACATATACGTATCTACTACTACTTAAAAAATAAGAGGTGCTTCCATCGTCCGTCAAAAAAACCGGGTGAAAAAAAACCGGAACGAATCCGATTCGTCAACGCGGTAAAAGAATATGTCCGATTCCACAAAAATAGGAAACAAACTCCCATCTGTTTTCGTTTGAGCTGATTAGGACTTTGTTTCTGTTTGGGCGAATAGGACTTGGTTTGAATTATACCAAGTCCTATTCGGTTAGCATCACCAGGAGAACAAGTGCATATATACATACATAGTATAAAAAATCATAGCACATAACAAAGAATCACATGCAGCCTTATAGCACTTTGCAAAAAAACAAAAAATTAGATCGAAGGGGGTCGCCGCCAGCACACATATATCCAAATAAAAACAAAAAATTAGATCGAAGGGGGTCGCCGCCGCTGCCGCCGTCGCCGTCGCCGTCGTTGCCGAACCGCCGCCGTCGCCGTCGCTGTGGATCCGGTGGAGGGGAGAGCACCGCCGCCGCCGCCTCCCCTCCCGCTAGATCCGCCGGCGGCGGCGGCAGAGGGCACTCTCCGGTGGTGGGGGAGAGCGCCGCCGCCACCGTCGGTGGTGGGGGAGGACTCCACCGCCGCCGCCGCTCGCGGGAGGAGGGGCGCCGTCGCCGCCGCTCGCGGGGCGCCTCCCCACCCGCTAGATCCGCCGCTGGTGGTGGGGGAGGGTGCTGCCGCCGCCGCTCGCGGGAGGAGGGGCGCCGTCGCCGTCGCCGCCGCTCGCGGGGCGCCTCCCCTCCCGCTAGATCCGCCGCCGGTGGTGGGGGAGGATGCCGCCGACACCGCCGTGGGTGGTGGGGGTGCCGCCGCCGCCGCCATCGGTGGTGGGGGAGGGGCGCCGTCGTCACCGCCGCCGCTCGGGGGCGCGGAGGAGAGGGCGGTGAAGTGAGATGGGAGGGAGGGAAATGGGCTAGGGTTCCGCGGCTGAGAGGGAGTGGGTTTTGTTTCCCCACTATTGACGCTCGGCCGTCCGATCAAAACCCTAGAGATCGGACGGCCGGTGTCGTCCGGGCCGAAATCGGCCCAAGAGGGATCGAGAGTGAGGCCTCTTTTCCGGCCCAAGCCCAGGTTGCGGCCTGGGGGAGGAAAAGTGCGCCCGCGCATGCGCAAGAGGCCGTGGGCCGACCGGCATAGGTCGGAAATAAGTCTATTGTTGGTCCCTCGAGCCGAAAAAAAGAGAATAAGTACATTTTTAGTGCTCATTTTTTCAGAAGCATTACAATTATAGTTCTATTGAATATGTTTATTTCGAAGCAAACCTATAAAAAAGTATTTTCTTTCTTTTTCCAATTAAATAATTGTTAAATGATGTTTGTATTAATAAAATTAGCAATTAAGCTCTGAAAATTCCAATAAAATTCCAAAGAGCGTAACTAATTATGGAGAATTTAATAAAATTAAATTTAACCATGTCATTTTATTTAACCATGGAGAATGGAGAATTTTACTTGTAAATTTATTTAATTATACACATACCTACTTAAAAATACCAAATATTTCAGCGAGTTTGTATTTTAATTAATTGCATATTTTTCTGATCTGTAAACTTCCCGGTGCAACGCACGGGCACTTTTGCTAAACCAAACAACACTTTTGGTCAATATACACACTCTGTAATCACCCAGTGCAACGCACGGGCACTTTTGCTAGTATATATATATATATATATATATATATATATATATATATATATATGTATATACATATATATCTTGTGATAGAAAATCACAGCTCCTATCATTCGAATTTTAGACTATTGGATATGCTTTAAGATTTGTGCAGACCCATTTAACCCTAAGTCATCTCCTCCTCCCTCGTTCAGATCGCGCCGCCACCACTCCGCCTCCCGTCCCCGCGCGATTCCCACCGCCACCGCCCCATCGCGCCACCGCAGGCCTCGCCGGCTGGCCGAAAGGAGTCAACAGTGCTAGCGAGCCCCCTCCCCCTTCCCCCTCTCTTTCTCCTCGAGGCGGCGACGATGAGGTGCCCCCGCCCCGCCGTCTTCCCCGTCTCCGGTGGCTCCCCGCCGCCGGATCCACAGCCACCGCCCCCGTCGTCGACGCCGGCCCACCGCCCTCCTCCATCCCCGTTGCTTCGGCGGCACCGTTGCCGCCTTGCCGCCCGCTGAAGACCACCGCCCACCGCCGGTCCTCTGCCGCCCACGGCCATCCCTCTAAGCCCCGAGGAAACACTGACCCCAACCCTAACCTAACCCGTATGTTCCCTACTAGAGTTGGGGTGTCACCGGCACCGGAGAAGAAGGGGAGCCCGCCGGAGTTGGAGGAGAGAAATCGATGCACGAAACTTGGTATGGATCTAATGGTCAAAAATCTAATATGTAAGATTTCATCCCCAAATTTCATTCGAATGACATATAGCAATCTCGTTGAATTAATTTCCTTGTTGTCGATGAGAAAAATCATGGGCTCCTATATATGGCCCATGTATTAACTGCTGCAAAGGAAAAGCCCATGTGTTGAGTGGGGCCGGTTGTTAGAGAGAGTATAATTTGCCATGGAATGACGCCTAACCCGAATTTTTTTTATTTTTGTTTTTTTAAAATATTTACAGAAATAATCTATCGTCAGAAAAATTTACAAAAATAGACCCTGCCGCTCTAGTGGAGGACGGTAAGCTGACGTGGCAGACGGCGGCTCGACGGCGCCGTGTGCGCATTTTACGCTTTGGTCCGGTAAGGGGTGAAATGCAATTTGTCCAGCTGAATAGAAGCATTAGGCTGGTATTTTTTTTTTGCATCTAGGCCATAATGCTTCTATCCAGCTCTGTTGATAATGGCCCTTCCCGGACTGGCTTTTTTACATGGAGGCCCCTAGCCGCCCTGGCAGTGGGCGGCATGGGTGTTAATGCAAAAAGTTCAACTTTTTCAATCGGCCGTCACCGCCCGTTTTTTCACATGGTCAGTTGTATGTCGCATTGTCAATGGGTGTGTAAGGCAAATGACAAGGATTTTGGCACAGCCGAAGAAAGAAAGTAGACCCCATAGAGAAGATCACTAGGAATATCGTGTATAAAGACGTTCTTGACTAGTGAGCAAAGGTAGGCTCGCATGATCAAAATTAATTTGAAAACATAATATAGAAAATAATAAATTGCTGATCGGAGTATTAATCACCAACATCCTCTTGTTTTGTACAACATGCCATCATCATTCAAGTAGTATATTGTGTGATTATCTTCTCCATACCATCTCGTGTTACATGCGTCAGTTTGCATCGGGCTGATAACAATACTATATGTTAACACGCGTGTCTCTCTAAATATGCACTTTTGCCATCAACAAATTTTAGTAGTTGTGCCACGTAGATCATGGAAGAAGACGTTAATGAGATGATCAACAATTGCTATCTTGTTATACATTGTGAAACTATTAATTTGGCATCTGCTTCAAATGAAATTGTTATTTGGGTTTATATTCACATTCTCGTGCTACGTGCTCAATGGGCAGTGGCCGGCGTGTGCTTTGTGTGACAAATAGAAAAAAAGATTTTTTTTTCTAAGTGCATAGGCCAAATGAAAAAAAATGAATGGAATTGACCTAAAGGAACATCCAAATTCACGACATGCAGAAATTATATTTTCTTGTACTCTATATAATGTAATTGCACTAATATACTTTGTTTTCTATGTATTATACTTGTGAGAGATTATGGTACACCTGAATAATGAAAATTGATGTTATTTTTTTTGAGGTAGTATTGTATAGTGTTTTATTTATAAATTTTATTTGAGGTCAAATATCAATAAGGTTGTGTTCGTTTCTTTGAGGTTTCCAACCTCCACTATATCGTTTCCCGACGGCGACCACGACGGCTCTCGGTGACGACAATCACGACGCGCAGCTCCGCCGCTTCCCCTTCTCCCCTCCCCGCCGCTTTGTGGGCCCTGCGTCAGATGCATGCAGTTTCAGGCGAGACTCTCGTTGCCAAAATGAGACAAAGGAAGCAAACAATGGTCACGGCCTCATCTACATTTTCGTCCACCGCAGCGAGTATCCTATTTGGCTGGGCGAGTCTATACATCACGTAGGAGCGTGGTGAATGGCCTTAGGGTGTGTTCGGCAACACAGGTTCCCAACTCCTCCCCCTCGTGTACCGTGCGCACGCTTTTTAAACTGTTAAACACAGTGTGTTTTTTTTAAAAAAAAATTCTATACGAAAATTGTTTAAAAAAATCATATGGATCTATTTTTTTTAAAAAAATTAATACTTAATTAATCACACGCTAATAGATCGCTTCATTTTTCATGCGTACGAGATTAGTTCCCATCTCCTTTATCCAAACTCAGCCTTAGAACGCTGGGTTGTGTGGCAATCCATCGATCAATCTAAAAAAATATCCTAGCTGGAGCTGGAGGGGGTTGGAAATAGCCAATGTGCACCTGGTCCAGGAAGACCTTGTGCACGGGTGTGTGTGTTGAGGGTTGGCGTCCGTGTCCAGATCTACAGACGCCAAGAAGGAAGTAATTCCCCAAACCTTAGATCGCCTCTTCTTCTTCTTCTAATCTTGCTGTTGGACCCGACGAAGCAAACCCTAGCCTCCTCCTGGAGTAGGCAGCAATCATGGCAGACCACCCCAGGCCTCCTCCCTGTGTGTTGCTGGAACGCGTGGTGCGTTTCGTGGAAGCAGCAGGGTTAACCAGCGGTGGCGCCAGCAGAGACCCAGATGTTGCGGCCATAATCGAGGTCGGCGGATGGAGCTGGAGCACAGTGCAAATGATGGGTTCCGTGGAGGAGATGGAGCGGCTGATGGCGCCGTCCGTGAAACCCGTCGCCTTCCTCGGCGACCCACCTCAAGTAAGCAGCCTGCACATGCTGCTGCCGCCGCCGGCGAGCCTGGATCTGCTTGGGATCGGCGAGATCTCCAGCACCCACAAGGGCATCGTCGTTATCTACGCCGATAAATGCTACCTCCTCTATGATGCCTCCAACAACCACCTCACCGCTATCCCCCCAATTCCCGATTCGGTGACCTCTGCCCCCATCTTCCTTCCCCTCGGTCGCGGCGCTGTCCTCGTCTCTGCCGCCGGCGCCGATGATGATGATTACATCTTCGCCGACATCGTCACCTCCCCCTCCACTAGAGGGATCAACCCCGCGCTCCCCAAAGCCACCATCTTCGCGAGGGTGAAGAACGGCGGCGAGTGGATCCAGTCATCGATTCCTCCCCTCCCTCTCCCTCCACATCTCTGTGGCCCGACCTACTTCTTCCACATCGACACGGCCTTCTCCTTCGCCGGCACCATCTTCTGGGTTGATCTCCTCAAGGGCATCTTGATTTGCGACGACATCTTGTCATCACCGCAAGGCCCCAGGCTAGCGTTCGTCCCGTTGCCCCACTGCATCGACGCCCACGACAAACCCCGCCATTGCTTCAGCCCAAATGAACACCGTTCCATCGGCCGCGTCTCTGGTGCCATCAAGTTCCTCGCCTTGATCGGCTACTGCGAAGCTTCTTGTCCCGAGAACGAGGTGAAGCTCAAGACATGGTCACTGTCCCCAGATTTCAAGCACTGGAAAGAGGAAACCACCTTGACTGTCGGAGACATCTGGGCGAGCGAGAGCTTCAACCAGATGGGGTTGCCACATGTTCTGCCCTTCTCCCCTGTCCTCAGCGTCAACGAAGATGGCATCATGTATGCCGTTCTGAATGATGTCAAGAAGGAACCAATACCGCGACTCAATGAGTTCGGGGACAGTCTTGGGATGCAGCTGGTTCCTAAAGCAAATTATATGATCCGCTTCGACATGCTGCAAAACAAGGTCCTGTCCTCCACCAAGATTTCTAAAAAGGCCACTTCGCGGTGGCTTACAAATACCTTCCTTGCTACCGACTTCAGTGCATACCTACAAGACCGCCAGGTACTTTACTAGTAACTGCTACCCCACTCTACTTCTCTGGCTTCATCCCAATCGTTTGTTTTACTGCTTTACTTTGTTTCAGACTCAATTGATGCTTATATTTGTCACATCAAGTTAGTTTCACTTGTACAACTAACTAGTAAAAAATATTGACATCTTAATTTGGCCAACCATTAATTAACATTCAAGTATTGAACACCGCTTAGTGTGTCATATGTGCACCAGCTTCCCTTCATGAACCAATGAGCATTACAAGTCTCATGTTAAACTTTGCTAGTAATATTTTTTAAATTAAGAATTGGTATCAGCCTAAGTTCATTCGATGATTTACTAGTATGCAGTATGCAGAGGCTCAAATTTAAACTGAAATTGAAAAAAAAAATCAGCAACTTCCGTAGCCTTCCGTTGTTATTTTTGACAAAAAGTACAATACCCTTATCAATTATCCCATTTGCGTTTATGGCTCACTGTTTTGGCGCAATACTATTTTTAATTGACCTTTCTTACTTTATAGCCCTGTGCTATGATGCTTTCAACATATTCCAATCTGAGACAAGCTTAAGATATCCATGCTTCCGGAACGCTTTCTTTTCTAGAAAATTATTTTTACAGTCTTCTAAGTTTCACTTCTTCAATACAAACCTGAGTGAATTGTCTAATTAGTTACTTAATGAATCTAGAGTTTTCAAAATCAATTTCCGAATGTATACACGGTTGGTGTTATGTTTTCTTTGGTGTAGAATTATTTCATAGTGGTTTCACTTATCCAATACAAGCTTCCTTTCTTTTGTCTTAACCAATGAAAATTACCTGGCTCTTGTTGAACTTTGATAGTTGTAACTTTCAAATTAAGAATTATTTTCAGAGTCCCTCAGTTTAGTATTATTTTCAGAGTCTCCCTGAGTGAATTGCCTAATTAATGAATATAGAGAGGTTTTGAAATCAATTACCGAATGCATTATTGGTACAAGCCTAAGTAGATTCTAAAAGATGCAGCATTCTGAAGTGCAAGACTAAAACCAACAGTGGTCTTAACTGCTGCTGGCAACAGTAACAACCTATAACCACGTATATTGATGCCATGGCTACTAACCTCATTAGCAACATGCCTTGAAGTACTGCTGACTGGACACTACCCCTCTTCTTAAGTGTTGAAGAATTATAATTCAAGCTTTGGCATAGATAAAACTAGGGTCAGATTTAAATCATAATGTTTAATTGACAGTCATCTTCATTTTGTTTTGGCAGAATGCTGAAGCAGCAGGCAAGGTTGGAGCAAGCGCCAAGGGCAAGCGTAAGCGGATGAGCAGCAGGCAAGCTGGTAGGAGCAAGTGCCAAGGGCAAGCGTAAGCGGATCGAGGAGTGCTGAATGGTACTCCCTCAGTTAAAAAAAAAAAACAATCCTGAGTATGAACCTGGACACGTGTGTGGGCTCATACCCAGGATTTGTTCTTTTCTTTTTAGGACGGAGAGAGTAGTATATTTCTGTTGCTTATCATGTGCGCCTAGCATGTCGCTTTTTTGGCTTACATCCTGTGAGATGTAATGTTAGCATGTGTTTGGTTTCGGGACTAAGTGGGATGGGATGAAACCATCCCTGATTTTGGAGTTGGGATGATTCCACTCACATGTTTGGTTTGTAGGATGGGACAATTCTAATTTTTTGTTTGGTTGAAAGGATGAGGGAGAAATGGGATGGACGCCGTTTGCCATCACCGTCAACGACCGTCGCCTGCGCCACCTGCATCCACGCGTGGAACAACCGGATCAAGCACAGCGGCAGCAGCAGGACGGCCACCACCGCCGGAGCACCCAACCCGCTGGCCCACCGTCGTCGCCGCGGCTGGATCGGGAGATCCCCTGCGCCGGATCCGCCGCCGCCGCTCTCCCTACCTCCAAGTTTCGCCGCCGCCGAGTCCCCCTTCTCTGGATCCGCCGCCGCCGCCCTCCCTACCTCCAAGCTTCGCCGCCACTCGAGCCCGCCGCGTCGACATCACCGCAGCTGCCGCAACCGCTCTCGTCGAGCATCACGATGAGCGGCGGGATGGCGCCGAGCATCTCGCTCGCGGCGGCAACCGGTGTTAAGGCAAGGGGTCGTGGAGGAGCGCCGGCGGTCGCAGAGGTGGTGGCAGGCGGTCGTGGCGGAGCGCCGGCGGTCACGGAGGAGGCGGCGGGCACGGGCGCGGACGAGCGCCTGCGGTCGCCGAGGAGACGCCGTGTGCTCCGTCCAAGTGGGACGAGCTCGTCCGGCCGATTTTGCCGGATGGATTTGTCCCGGATCTAGGAGGAATATTCCTCTCTAGGGACCAACCCATCCCACTCGCCCCTCAACCAAACACCTCTAAAAGTGGGTTTGTCCCATCCCATCCCATCCCATCCCACCAACCAAACACTACCTTAAATGTGTTTAGGTTAACCATCAGACCTTATTTTAGTCACTATCAGACTTTATTTTAATGATATCAGCCTAGCAGTTAAAACTGAATGGTAACCAATATATGATGTATGATCATCGTGGATTTATATCATCATATGCTATGTGGCCAAAGGTTTGGTCGTGGTGCTCCGTGGACTATCAGCCCCATCGTTTGGCCTAAACAGCCAAAGAATAAGCCAAAATTTGAAATTTTGAATTTAATTTTGAAGTTGATTTTGAAATGCTTTTAACGTAATTTTTGTTAATTTTGGCTTTTAAGTCGCTACGAATAAATCTACAAAAGTTTTACTTATAAACTAATTTTAATTTTCTAATAAGCCAAATAAGCCATTTTAGGTAAAATGGCAACCGATGGGATCCTATCTATCTGTGACTGTGAGTGACTCGGAATGGCTTTTTATTGGTTTCTTGTACTTTGGTACAAGTTCCACTATCTAATACTAGTAGTAATTTACCTGTGCTAACACGAAAACAATATTTGGTAATGCAATCAATAAACTAAAGACAACGCATGTTTTGGCAATTAAGCATATAATTAGATAAATTTAAAATTCACACAAATATTAAAAAAATAAAGTAATTTTATTGTTAAATTTATAAGATGTGTGCAAAATAGCATCGCTTTTTATATCTTTGAAACTATCTAATTCTTGGTGCACTAAGAAATTATTTTATAACTGCGTGAATATTATTTTCCGAATGATGCGCAAAATAATAACTGCAAGCTACTCTTATGGAAAATGTTCCATGATGAGTCATTGCTATGTAGGTAATGGATCCACATGCCATTTAAAGGCAAATAGTGATTTTATCCCATTATATTTGAATATGTAAATAATCAAAATTGCATTATCATTCAGAAATAAAATAAGTTAGGTAAAAGGAAACGTAAAAATAAACACAATATCCATCCATCAAGGTGTGACTGCAAGACCAACCGAAGAAAAAAATACATTATGTCCGGGTTTAGCAATGGTGACGATCCGACATCGGCGGCACACGAAGGAAATCGGTGACGTTGAGCAGTGCCGAGGAGGAGGTTGCCGGAGCAGCTTCTATCGATGTAGGGTCGGTGGCCGGGGTTCGCCGCAGATTTGGATCTGGCCGGCGAGTCAGGTGCACAGCCACGAGATGGCAGGGTGTTGGTTGCGTCACGGTTGGCGTGATGGAGCTGGAGCCTAGAGGGAGGTGAGCAGCGAGGACGACATGATGGTGAACTGGGGCGACGAGGAGAGGGAGGACATGATTTTGGGGATTGGCGGTGGAGAGCGACACTGTGTGACGTCGAATGTAACTCATCAGATCTGAATCGTTGTATGTGTCACAAAATGAATAAGTAATAAAACAAGTTGTTGAACTATACCGTGGGCTAACTCAGGTCCATGGACACCAAGGCCCTGGGTCCGCCACACGCTATGCCTCTTGGCGCCCCTCTGTTGATCGCTTCTCGGCCACACACGCATTAATGGCTTGATGACGAAATTAATTTACAGGCCAGTTGATTGCAAGAGAGATTGGTTTTGGCTTATACCATGTACTGATTTATGGGTGATAGTCACCCTCTCGGTTCATTGGTCAGACGGTCCAACCGTGAACCTAGAGGCTGAAGCGCGGTTCACTAATGTACTTACTCCGTCCCATAAAAAAATAATTTAGTATTAGATGTGACATATCATAGTCCTACGAATCTGGATATATTTCTGTTTAGATTTATTGTATTAGAATATATCATTTCGTTTTTTTAGGATGGAGAGAGTATATATCAGGTACTCCATACTTAACACACATCCGGATGGTACGATGGCTACAGGAGTTGACTTGCAACCGCGCACCTTTTAGTTGGATATTTGAAAAAAAAAGAGGCTGCGAGCTAGTGTGGCCCAAAAAATGAGCCTACGAACTAACACGGCCATCATGTGGCCCATTCATTCATTGACTTGACTTAGAGCAGATATAATAGCAGACTATAAGCCAGCTATAAACATATTTTAAAGAGATACTCCCTTCGTACTCGTAAAGAAAGTCGTTTAGGACAATGTTTAAGTCAAACCTTGGGAATATAAATCATGAATAGCTCTTAAGTTGTTGAGTTTGAAAATGTAAAAATTATATGAATAGATTTGCCTTGAAAAACATTTTCATAAAAGTATAAATATATCACTTTTTAATAAATATCTTTATAGAAATAAGAAGTCAAAATTATGTTTTGGAGACCGTGTCGCTGTCCAAAACGACTTCCTTTATGAGTATGGAGGGAGTACTCCCTTCATCTACTTTTGATAGTCATATTTCCAAATCTGAAAATTTTATTTTTGATAGGCATATTTCAGTTCAACAACCTATCATCTTAATGACTTTCTCGGATTTAATGCATGATTCTCCATTCTTCCACACAACATTGGCTACATTGGCTTGTTTACGAGGAATGACTAGTAGCATATTTAAATGAATGATAAGTAGAATTACTTATCCTTGGTCTATGTGCCAAGATGAAATATGACTATCAAAAGTAGATGAAGGGAGTAAAAGAAGAGAGAGAAGAGCAGCGGGCCACAGATCTGTAGTCAGCTATATCATGGACTCCAAAACGTAATGTGTGTATTACAGGTAGGACCATATATTAATAGTATAGTGTCGACGTTTGATGTCGCGATTCCGGTATTTGCACAGTATGGGGATCGTTGGTACTAGGATATACGCGAGACTGAGGTAAAAGAGACGGAGACAGGGATTTTTATACAGGTTCGGGCCCCTGAATTGTCAGGTAATAACCCTACATCCTATTGGGCGAAGCCGGTATTGCTCTTATTCACCATAATCACACCAGTACAATATTTGGGGTAGCCCATCTAACTGCTGTCGATATGACGGTCTGAAGTTCTGACTCGTAGTCAACAACAGGGTAGTTTTCCTTCTCGAATCCGCATCCGGCGAGATCAGAGACAACGCTATGTCTCTCCTGACGGTAGCCATAGGTATCGTAGGGGACTAGCCATGCCTATCTCTGAAGTCGATATCTGGTATCTTGTCTTGGCGTATGTTGGCTTATATGTTGATCTTGCGTCTTGATCTATTGTTCCGTGTCCCCTCTCCTCCTAGGGGGCCTTGTATTTATAACCATAGGTGTCCCCTTGTCTAAGTAGAACTAGGGAAACCAATATGGATACAATCCGAGTAGTCCTTGTCGTTTCCATGTAGAACTCTAGTCATGCTTCCTTATGTGGAACTCCTCCTATATCCGAAAGTTGTTTCCGTATAAGACATGGTATATGGTGGGTCCTGTCGAGATTTAGTCAACTACTATTAGGTATGTGGTATCCACAACCCTGACATATAGTAAGTAACTATTGTATGAATTGACTATTACATTGGCTATAGATGATTTGGAGGTAGTAGTTGACTATACTATTATACTTGCTCTTAGTACGGTCCGACCGAAGGCAATTTGTGACTCATGAGACAACGAACCCAACTGTTTACTTGGTCGAAATAGCTAATAGGCGATCAGTCGCCGCGCGAGGAGAGGGGAGCGCGGGCAGCATGCGGTTTCTTTTTTTGTTTTGTTTTTTTTCGCACGGTTTCCGGGAGGGACGTGGTTTCTTTTTTTTTCTTTTTAGGGCAAGTACTATAAACCCCTACATATTGCCCCTAAATTTGACATATAGGATTAGATGATGAGTTGGAGGAGAGAAGTTAGGAGAGAGAGAATGAACCACCCCATATGCAAGGGGCAACCTCCACACAATCTCCAAGAAAAATATAAGATGATATGAGAGTAAACTAATACTGGGGTTTGTGTACTAGAAGTGACATGTTGTACTTGTTACCACTTAATTAATGAGAAGATGATATGATGTAAATTAGATGTGACACTCACCTCCACTATAAAACTTGCCCTTATGCGTGCGGTTTTCTTTTTTTTTTCTTTTCTTCCTTCAGTATCGTTACTTTTTGTGTGGCGCGCGTTTTTTTTCTGTTTTTTTTCTTTCCGTATCTTTTTCTTGTTTTTTGTTTTTTTAATACATACATATACAAAGTTTGTATACAAATTTTGTGTGTATAAATTTTTATATATAGGCGTACAAATTATATATATACACACACACACACACGTATATAAAGATGGTATATTGTGACGCCCCGATTTTCGTTCGGGATTAAAAATCATTAAATAATGCATTTTCTAAAAATTAAATAAAATTTAAAGCAATTTAATCAAGTGAAATAATGAGAGAATTAAAATTTCCCCATAAAAATCATTGGCTGAGAATATTTTGTAATATTCTTTGTGCCCTAATATATTCTCTGAAATTTCCCGTGAATTTTCGGAGCTCAATAAATAATTTTAATGCCACAAAGTTCATTTAATCAATTAAGTAAAAAGAAAACCAAATAAATCTCTCCATCCTCTCTTTGGGCTCGGCCCAAGCCTCTCCTTCCCCTCCTTCAGACCGCTCCTTCCCCCCCCTTACAGGGGCCGTTGGCCCATTTGCCTCCTCTCCCTTGAAAGTCCACAAAACCCCCCCCAGCTCTTCTCTCTCCGGCCGACATGTGGGACCCGGCCCCACATGTCAGCTCCTTCCCCTTCCTCCAGCTTGGGCCGGCAACTGCCATGGCCGCCCGATACGCCCACGTCGCCGCCCCTCCCGCGCGACCCCCCTCTCCCGCGCATACGTGGGCGCGGTCGCCGCCCTCGTCCTCCCCCTCTTCCCCCACTTCCCCCGAGAAAAACGGCACCGAGCCACCTCCACTCCGCCCCTCGATGCCGCCCCCATGTCGCTGGATGGTTTCCACCTCTCTCGGGCTCGATCCCGCCTCCCCTCCCCTATAAAAACAATCCCCGGCCTCCCCTCATCCGTTTCCCCCATTTTCCCCATGCCGCCGCGCCCTCCCTCGCTCTCCCCGCGCCGAGCCCACGCGCCGCCGCTCTCTGGCGAACTCCAGCCGCGCCGCGCCGCCGCTCCCGTCCACCCCGCACTGCGCCGTCGCCCTCCCCGGCACCGCAGTCGTCGTGCACACCCCGTCCACCGCTCCTCTTCCCCAATCCACCACCGCAACGCCGCTTCCACCTCCACCCCGAGCCACCTTCGCCATTAGCCGCCTCCATCCGCTCCCCGCCGGCGAGC